ATGGCAAGTAAGTTGTAAGACATAAGGCCACACCTGCATTCTTCCTGGCATGGCACCCACTGTGGCTGGAAGTCCGTTTGGTGTCCCTGTCACCTCAGAACTGATGATAGCCTTGTGTCAGCAACCTCGAAAGTATCCTCTGCTGCTGTTTTGTTGTCATCCATACCGTGGTTATTCTCCCATGCCATGAAGTATGGAAGTTACTATTGTAACTGTGACCCAACCTCTGTCCATCCTCCCTCTCCTGGCTTTGTGACCACTTTTCCTTTGGGGATTTCCGTGAGCTCGACGGTGTCACTCCCACATAGAAGAGAAGCTGAGTGGTGTTGATCACTTGTTCCAGTTCTATCCATATTTGCAAGTGACAGAATTTCATTGTTTTTATGGCTGAATAATACTCCATTATGTATATCTACCACTTTTTTTGAAATAATGTGTTACTATGTCCAAGTTGCCTTTGAAATTCCTATGCATCCTGGACTGGCCTTGAACTTGGAATCCTCCTGTTTCAGCATCCTGAGTCCTAGGAGTACAGGTGTGCCCTGCTACTTCATGTTTTTTATCTGTTCCTCCAGTAATGGGTGCCTCTGTTGTCCTGAGCCTTTGTATCTTCTCTCCTGCAGAAATCTCCACTTTTTATAGCTCGTGAAAGAAGTTGGACAGTTTCACAGTGTATTAAACACAGCTATGAAATAATCTGTACATTTCAGAAGTGAATTATCTGATGAAAAGAGTTTTGGAGTTAATACTGTCACAGAGTTGAAGCTCTCTGTGGCAGAGGCATTTGCAAGCACATTGAATCTGGCCTTCCATTTCTAGCTGCAAGACACATGAGAAGCTTTTGAAAAGCTGTGATGTGGACAGGTCCTCTGGTAGGCATACTAAGCAATTGGCGTGGTCGTTGTGTCCCTGCTGGTGAATGAGGACCCCGCGGTAGTCCTGGCCCTGCTAACAGTGGTCACTGCAATCCTGTGACGTGTGTGGCTCCGCTGCAATGCGTCTTGCCTAGCAAGCCCGGTCTTCTCTGGCTCTGCATGTGCATCACTGCAGCACTGTTACTGTGACTTCAAAATATTTCTGCTCTCGCCCAGGGGCTTAGTTCAGCAGTATAAGTGCCTGCTTGGCAAACACGAGGTCATGAATTCTATCCCTGGCACCAAAAAAAAAAAAAAAAAAAATTCTGCTCTACTGGCTGGTTATTTTAGAGGCAGCTTTACTTCTGCTTTGCAGTTGTCATCCTTTTCTTTCAGGTGCCTTTCCCTATGTGTCATTCATTTCTACTACTTTGACACATCCCTCTCCACCCATGGTTTAAAGGTGGCACATGCTGTAGTTGCCTGCAGTGCACTGGGTAGGGATGACTCAGACCAGAGTCTGGGCCTCAAGGGTCAGTCTGCTTGGTCCACTCTACTATTCTCAGGCATCGAAGGACCCGGTGGGGGTGGCTGTGTGCGCCCAGACCCCTCCTAGCTTGGAAGTTGGAGTTGTTCCTGGGCACAGAGCCCTCCATGTGGGCACTATGCTTCTGTCTGCAGTGCCTTCTAACAGCTTTTCTCCTCCATATGACAGGAGGGGTGCACCCTGGCCTGAAATGAGGGTCAGTGCTGCAGGGAAGCATTATCTTCTTCAGAGTCAAAATCCCAGGATCCCAGCAAATGGGCAGCCAAGCTTTCTTCCTGTAAACTCAGTGCTGTGAACTTGGCCTGTTATTGTCTAAGGTGGATCCTGGTCTTTTCAGGAGCCTCCTGCCTTGCTGTTTGCACCCCAGAAGACACTTTGTTCCTGAAGCCTGGTGGTTCTGATCTGTCAGTGACAGTCTTCTCTAGTAGTTTAAAGTGAGACTGCCCCTTGCTAATGCTGCTGCAGGAGAGGTAAAGGTCATGGTTCAGCCCGGCTTCTGCAGGATTTCCGTGGAGGTCACTAGATGTGATGTCAGGAGCCAGCCGTGCTGCCCCAGCTGGGGCATTGTGCAGTCTTTGCCTTCAGATCCTGTTGCTCTTCTACAGTTTGGCAGAGTGTAGTCCTGGCTGGTACAATTATGTGATACAGGAGTACCAGGCGCAAACCTACTAGCAAAGATCGGAATCCTGTAATTCTTTGCTTATGTGTCTCTGGAAATAATGGGCTAAAGTACATCTTAATTAAGCTAGTTTTATTTAGAAACCTTTAATGAGAATGCCTACACTGTAATTACAGTTCAAGATCCCTAGTACTGTTCAAAAGCACCACCCTCAAGAAGGTGGTACACTAGGGAGTGCTGGCTAAGACTGAACACTCTGGTTAGGAACCTTCCTCTGGGGAAACCTTGTAGCTAATTTCTGAGTTGTGTTTTTTAATAAGGAGATGTGATTTGTAGAGAAGACATGAGGTCTGAGAGAAGGCTTTGGTGTGGCTGGTTTGGCTCTGTCCTTTGTTGTATGATGTAGCCCTATAAGGTTTTTTTGTGCGGGGGTGGAGCCATAGCTTTGTTAGAATAGAATTGCTGTGCAGTTCACCCATCTGCTGTGTAACAGGGGTTCTTTTTGCATAGCTGTATCTGCACAACCAATTTTAGAATGCAGATCTTTACCTCAAAAACCAGCAGTGCACCCCTTGTCTCTCACTCCTCCCCTACTTTCCTCATGTTCCCAGCACCTGATGGCTTGTTTGGGTTGCCACAGCAGCATTCCTGAGCTTGGGCAGCTTATGAAGAGCAGGAGCTTCTCACAGCTCCAGAGACTAGAGAGTGCAGGGTCAGAGTCCTGACAAAGTTAGGGTAGGGCAAGGGATGGGGATATTGTGTCCTTGGAGAAGCTGCTTCCATAAGCGCTCTCTGTAGTGGCATTAGCCCATTGATGGTGATCCAAGCACTTTCAAGAGGCCCCAGCTCCAAGTAGCATTGAGGATTGATTTTCAGCGTGAATTTGGGAGGGGACAGAAGCACTGGGCAGCAGTCTGTATCCAGATTGGCCTGGCCTAGAAGGCCATACGAATGGACTTGTGAGTGGTGTCCTTCATTTCACATGGTGCTTTCAGTGCTCACCCTTGTGTTGGGGTATTTTGGAACTTCATTCATCTTCCTTGCCTGATTATACTCTGTAGTGTGTTTGTGCATTTTGCCTGTCTGTTCATCAGTTGGTGTATGTTTGGATTGCTTCTACTTAACGACTGTTATGTGACGATGTGTGCATGTTTACATCTAGTGTTTGTATGGACACCTTTCCGTGTTTCTTGGGTAGAAATGCAGGAGCACATGGAACCTGTTTAAGCTTGAACAGTTGCCAGGCCGTTTTCCAGATTGATAGCTGCACCATTTTACAGTCCTACAGAAGTAGGTTCTAAGAGATTCATTTTATCCACATTGCTGCCCAGCACTGCTTGTCCATCTGGTTGTGTCACACATGTGGTTTTGATTTGCACATCCTGTTGGCTGATGAAGTTGAGTAGCTTTGCATGTGCTTAATGGGCACTGTGTATCTTTGAGGAAATGTCTGCTTAACCTTTGTTTTTAAATTGGATTATTCCCTTCCCAAGTAAGGTTCTTGATAGAAGTTCCTTGTGTTCCCAAGGGCTTTTATATCTCTAGTACATGGGTCATTACAATAACCATCTGGGCTGAGGGCCTGCTCTGGATCAGCTCTGCCATGGCAACAATAGAAGGATTATTTTTTGATTCCCATTAGTAATAACCTAGAGGTAGGGAAGATGTAGTATCCTTAGCTTATATATGCAAAAGCATAGGCCCCGAGAAGTTAAGAACTAGCCAGGGTCAGGCCATGGGCAGGTGGTACATAAGGTTCCCTGCCAGGATGTGTGGCCACATGGAGCTATGTGCCCTTGGGCTGGAGCTGAGGACTCCTGTGAGCCTGGCCCGTGGGCTTGAGCCTTGAAAGTCCACACCATGTCCAATCTGCAGTGGGGGCCTCTGTCTTGAGTTCCTGGCTCTGGGCTGCCCTGGGGTCCTCCACGTGTGCTCTGCACAACCCATGGGGCCTCACTTTCTTCTGGTTATCTTTATGTGTAATGCAGTTAGACAAGAGGGATGAAATGTCTATCACAGATGAGCCTTAGTTTAGTAACAGTAATGCTGAATTAGGACTCTGGGGAATTACACACAAGTTTGACTGTTACTTAAGGAACCTCTGAGCCGCTGAAGCATCATTACTGCCACGGAACAGCTGCCTGGGCCCAATTTTGCAGAGCTCAGGTCCTGTAGCAGCCAAGGCCACATCCTCACACGCATCCTAAGGGGCCTCTTCTTCCCTTGTTCTCACACGTCACAGAGAGCCTCTCCCTTCTGCAGGGCTGGACCAATACCTGTGGGCCAGGAAGGCCCTGCCTGCCCTGGGTAGCTGGTGACACCTCATAGAACAGGGCAGTGCTTCCTCCATGCTGTGGCTCAGGTTTTTAGTCTGAATAAACAGTATTGAACTCTGGAAAATTGTAGGGTAAAACTACCTTTAGCCTCAGGATTTAATCTCCTTTGAAAAATACACTTCTAGGATGTAAGGGAGGGTAATGGGGGGGGGGGTGTTATCAAATGTTGTATGTATAGATGAGAATACCACGTTGAAAACACAGTGTTTTGTTAAATTAATAGGCACTCCTTTAAAAAGGAGAGCTAAAAGTTGGCTAGCTAGAAGGTATAGTTGGTTTCCAGACTGAAAGCAGTTGTGGCATAGTCAAGTGTAAAGGTAATAAATCAGGTTAAATTGTAGTTTAAGAGACTTGTAGTTACCAGACCCATGTAAATTTTGTTTTTATAATGGAAAGGACTCTCTAGCACGTGCTCAGAGTGAAGCCAGACAAGCCTGGAGGCTCCTCTCTGCGATACCTGTGGGGTCTGGGTAAGACCACATGTGGGCCCTCTCTCCCCGCATCTCCTCTGAAGAGCTGGAAGGACCCTGCAATTCCTGTCTGATGAGAATTACTCGAATGCGTGTGTCATGGAGGGTGAGATGTGGGACGTAGATGGTCCCTGTAATTACAGAATGTAACCTTGTGTTTGAATTTTTTCTTAGAGGAAACACAAGAATAGAAGAAGCTTGTGAAATGTATACCAGAGCTGCAAATATGTTCAAGATGGCTAAAAATTGGAGTGGTATGTACAACTTTTTGTTTGTTTGCTTTCAGGCAAATATTTAAAAATCATTTTGTAGGAGGACAAGACTACTTGGTTCCCATTAGTGTGGTGTGTGCCAGCTGTGGGCTGGAGCCAGGCGTCCGTGCCATGCTTCAAGACCACAGGAAGGGAGCTAGAAACCTGCCTGCCAGCTTATATGCAGACAATATCCACGAACTAAGGGGCTGGGGATTTAGCTCAGCGGCATAAGCGCCTGTCTTGCAAGCAGGCAGTCGTGAGTTCGATCCCCGGTACCGATAAAAAAAAGAAAAAGACAAAAAAAAAAAAAAAAAATATCCACGAACTACCTACTATAATAAGTTGTGGCAACTGAAGAGAGTTAAAGGGACTTGGACTTAGGGAGAGTAATCTTGGCCTCTTACTAACATGCTTAAATAAGTGCCATGGATTGAATAAGATTAAATTCAAACTCATTTAAGTCAGTAGGATAAGTAAAGGTACCTGGTTTTCTTCCCGTGAGTGCTGGTTGGGAATTTCTAACTGTTTCTAGCTCTGAGATAAGTGACCGAGTCCATTGGAGCTGTGCTCTGGGGGATCTTTGCAAATGCCCCTTGCCTAAAGTCATAGGACAGAGTGAACAGAAGTACCCTGTGGCCTGCCAGGGGATGGTCCTTTCTAACGTGGCTTGAGAGGAAGGTATGCCCCTCTCCCAGAGGAGACTGCCCCAGGGCTTGGTCGGGGCCTACTGGAGACCTGGTGTCTGGGCCAGGCACAGCAAGGTGGACAGCGACACTAGTGCATTCTGCCAGCTGTTTGTTTCCCCTACCTGTAGGGCAGAATCTCTTTAAAGGGCAAATGCTTCCTTCTTTTATGATTTTGTTTTGGGTAGGGCTGTATTTAGAAAGCTGTGTTTTTAAAATGTGCTGAGGTCTGAATTATATTGTGTTGAGAAATAGAAAGGAAGAGAGTATTGTCCTGGTATCCCCATCATTTGTTTGAGTCCTGTAGCCCTAGGTTAAAAAACAGTCTTTCCTAAGAGAGCACATACTTACTGATCTCCTACCTTGGAAACCCACAGCACTCCTGCGCTACTGCACTGTTCTACTCTGTCCCAGGACAGGCGCCCTCCAGGGCCGTCCCCTTCCTGTCTCGGACTCAACCCCTGCCCACTTCCCTGTGCCTTGTGGCCACCCAGAGCCTTTACTCAAGCCCTTCCTCCATCTGCACTCTTTCCTCCTAGACAGAGTGTGGCTGGTTCCCTGCTTCTTGCAGACTCTTCACCAAAGTCATCTTTGCGTCCTTTCTGGAAGCTTCTTTCCCTTTGTTCCAGTGTCCTCCTTCATGGGCAGGCAGCAGTAAGTGGACCATGTAGCATTTCAGTCATTTCTGTTTATTTTTGTTACTTGGTGGCCCTCATTAGAATGTAAACCTGGGAAGAGCAGGATGCTTGCTTTGTCCCTGCTGTCTCCAGGCCTGGGTTTGTGTCTGCAGCATAGCAGGTGTTCAGTGTATTTGTCAGTGAATGAATAATTGTAGCACCATTCCCTCTCTATATGATTTTAAAAGTTCTTTTATAATAAGTCTCTGCCTTGGTAACTCAGCTTTGAGAGATCATTATGGATAGGTCTCAGGGCATTTTACAGTAGAGGAAATATAGCACAAGAAATTGTGCCTTTCCAGGGACCATTGAATATGGAGCTCCCAGGCCTCGAAAGACCAAGCTGGCATTACTAGCAGTGACTGGAGTGGGTACTTGAAGTGAAATGAGAACTGGTGACCAGCTGGGACAATATCAGTGGGAAGGGCTTGCACCACTCGCAGAATGCGGGCTGCCCACGAGAGCCTAGGACTTATGCTTTCTACTTACTCAACAGTGGATGGAGCGACTGAGTGGACGTTAACTGCACAGTGCAGTACTAGCAGGAGAAGGGGTATAAGCTGTAAAGAACTGGGACATTTAAGCAGGGCAGAGCCCAGATAGAGTGAAGGATAGATTTACAAACAGTCATAAAAGTGGCGACCTGGTGCAGCCTGGGCTGGGCACTCATGGGAGGTCACGTGGCTGTGGTGCTCTTAGAAAGCAGAGCCCTGAAAGCCACTGTCCAGTTGGTGCCTCCCCCACTGCCTGCTGGTGGTGAGTCACTCCCCAACCACCGGAGCACAGCCCTAGCAGAGCCTAGGCAGTGTCCACTCTGACTGGTCAGAGCCTCCCTTTTTCAGGAAATTACCATCGCCTGGTAATTTATAAAACACAGAGACTTCTGCTCATGGTTCTGAAAGTGAGGATCCAGGTGGCCACAGACTTGGAAGGGCTGCTCACTGGCTCTGAGATGACACACAGGACAAGGCAGCTGCCCTCAGTGTTTTTTTACAAGGGCAGGTGCTCAAGAGGGTGGAGCCCCAGGAGGAATAACTTAGCTACATCCATGGAGCCCTACTCCTGATGCTGTGCCCAGACACATTACATCCCACTTAGGAAATCCAGGAGAACATCAGCTCTCACAGCACAGTACCTGTGTCATGATGGCAGTTCTGTGTCTTCATTTGCATAACGAACCGAGACTCAAACAGGATCTGGCCCAGGTCAAACCCACTTCAGGGCTTTCGTGACCCTTTCCTCTAAGGCGAAAGTCCAGCAGTCTGTGTGGCACCTCTGGAGAGTGGCGTACATGGATGCAACTGAAGCTTTAACAACTGAATGCTTTATTTCCCACAAAGCAATTTAAAGCCAGTGTTCAGCCTTAGCATGGGCTACTGCTTTATGATTAAAAATGTTTTAGATTGATTTTTTTTTTTTTTTTTTTTGAGGGTAGCCTGTGTAGTCCGGGCTAGCCTCAGCCTCCTGAGTGTAAGAGTCACAGGCGCATACCACCACGCCTGGTGCTGGTTCTGGCTTCTTGTATAAAACATGGGACTATGGCATGAGGAGTCCTGTTCCCCTGTGTTTCACCATGGTGTTATCTTCTTCAGCTGCAGGAAACGCGTTTTGTCAGGCTGCCAAACTCCACATGCAGCTTCAGAGCAAGCACGACTCTGCCACCAGCTTTGTGGATGCAGGGAATGCATACAAAAAGGCAGACCCTCAAGGTAAGGCAGCTGCCAGGCTCTGTCCTTTGGCCTCAGGACTGGTGTCCCTGCATCCTCTGAAATGTTAGCAGAATGTAGGAACTTCAGAGTTTGATTCTTTCTTTAATCCTTTGTGGGCCTTTGTATAGAGAAACTATTTTAACTTGATTGTGGGTGTGCAGTTAATCAGTACCATTTTCTTCAACTCTTCTTATGTTACATTTTGGGAACTCTTTTGGAAATTGCCATTAATTTTATATAAGAGTTCCTATATCTCGATTGTACAAAACAGGATTCTGATCCGATATGGAAATTTTGCTGTTTCCCTTTTTCTGAATACCCACTGAGTTTTCAGACCCATTTGGTGGGAGATTGTTATGTCCTGTGGTGAAAAATGTCACTTAGTCAGACATTGTTCATTTGTTTTGTTTTCTAGTATATTTCAAAAATTTTTATTTCTAGAAAAGAATGAAATTAGATATTTAAAGTGGCAGAATTTTACAAATGTTCTTTTTTGGTTGGAAGAGCATACTGAGGAGTATCTTTCTTCCTACGTGTGTGAGGATAGCTTCGAATCTGCCTTTTATCTTTGAGTCTTTATTTTGTGTAATGCACAAATCCCAGCTTTTACACACAGGCCATAAAGAAATGTGGTATCTCCAGAGGCTTTGTATGAGATGTGTCACAGCTGGCAAGGGTGGACGTGGCCCATGAGAGCTCCAAGGGGTGGGGGGGTGAACTCAGAGTATGGCATGGGGTCCTGGTTTCAGACTCTCAGCTGGAGGAGATGGAAGTCCCCCACTGAGTGCTGATGCTGGGAGGGGTAGGGGTGGTAGGTGGTTAAGTCTTTATTCTGTGATTTGTTTTGTATGGTTTAACAGTGAATCTGCATTTTTGTATGGTTACTAGAAAAGTTGCTTTTAACTTTGTCATTTTGCTTACTTTTCTAATTCTGGAATCAAGCTTTTCTGTGTTGCTGCCTCTTTTAAGCCTGAGACACTCTACTTGGAGCTGCGAGCTCAGGCGTGGCAGCAGTATAAATAACACTATTTCGTGACAGGGGAAGCATTGGGTTTTAGTCATCAGTGCCGTCCTGGGCTTCTTCTCTTCTTGTCCTGGCTGTTAGTGTGCTGGCAGTTGGCGCCTTCTGTGTAGTGTTGGGCTTCACTGAATCGTTGTTTAACAAGCATTTCAAAACACATTTGGGTTTCACTGCACAAAGGTAGACTGTAGATGCAAAGGGTACGTTTATATACACGGAGCAAGTGTGATTGGTCAACAGGGGTGATGTCCCCGTTGTGTCACATGGGTAGAGTCCTCACCTTCAGATTCCCAGTAACTGAGCTGCTAGCCCTGCACCGCCCCCCATGCTCAGTTACACTGGTACTGTTGGACGTGTGCATGACCTGCGTGTGCCGCTCCATAACTGCCCACCCTCGCCCCTTATTGTACTTCATTGCCACGATAATGACAGCCAAGAAGACCAGCTCACCCAAATCCTCTGTGACTGAATGGATTTTTCATTGTTTTTCTTAAATGCCTTCGCTTCAGAGGCTATCAACTGCTTAAATGCAGCCATCGACATTTACACAGACATGGTAAGATGTTGCCTTGCTTGATGGCTGTGGGGTGGAGGCCCTGAGATGGCTTAGAGATGGATTTTTGTTCTGTTTTCCAAACGAGTGGCATTCACATAGGTGAAGCTGGCATGTGACTCTGGTCTTCTCCCCCCAGGGACGATTCACCATCGCAGCCAAGCACCATATCACCATTGCTGAGATCTACGAAACTGAGCTGGTGGACATCGAGAAGGTGAGTGCTGCCCAGACCTTCGTCTGCAGTTAGTAGACAGGGAGTCCACAACCTGCTCCTTTGCCCACTGGCTGGTGCGGCAAAGTGGTCCCAGGAGGCCAAATGGACCCTCCCTTCACCCTAGCCTGCATGCTGCAGCACTCTAGGCCCATGAGCTACAAGTATACATCAGGCTCCCCACCCCACACTAAGTGCCTCAGCTTGCGCCTGACCACTGCACCCCAGCAGCTGAGCCGCTTCTCCCTCCTCCTGTGCATCTGTGTACTGGACCCCTGTCCTGTCACCCTCCTCACAGGCTGGGTGAACTCCTGCCAGGAACCTCTCTGCCTATAGAGGGCTGGGTGGCAATTTCTCATGTCTGTCATTCTGTGCATAGACTGGCCACACCCTTTGGTCTCTGCTGCTCATTGCCTTTCCCCCAGGCTGTCTCTGTGGCCCCACCAGAGCTGCGCTCTCCCACCACGGTGCATGTGTGCCTCCTTGCCCTTGCTGTGTTCTGTGCCCTCAGCTCTGCCCTGCTTCTCAGGTGGCCCCTGGGACATGCAGCTCTACCCTAGTAGAAGGCAGTTATGTGCCTGTCCCAACCCAGCAGGTGGCATGGGGCAGCAGCAGAGGCTCACCCCTCAGAGTTCACTGTCTATAGGTGCTGGCACTGTGTGCTTGTGCTTGCTGTGTCATGTAGATACTCCCCACCCCCACCAATAATTGCTGTGCTTTTGGAGGAAGCTGAGATCATGAAGAACCCAGAGGCATCCCAGGAGGGTTGAGCGCCAGGCAGGAGAGAGCCGCACCTTCACTGGCTCAGGGGCCTAGGAGTGGAGCATTTTCCTGGTCTGGCTTCCTGTCCATGCAGTCAGAGCACTGCTATGGGGCAGAAGCCATGGTCTTGTGCCATTGATGCCCCTGGGCATGGTCCCAATGGGTGCCTCACCACATGAGTCTCCCTAAAATTGGAGTGGATAAATGAAACCCTCCGTGGTTCATGTTCCTCCCTCATGACAGATCAGTTGCTGCTGCTGAAATCCATTTCCTCAGCTGTGCCTGCCCACTCCAGGGCCACCAGGAGGTGGCACCTCTTCCCCAAGTGGCACTTTCCCTTCTAATCTACACAGGAAGGCTCCCTGGCAGGCACATGGGCTGGGCTCCTGCATCACGGGGAAGTGCCCTGGCCTTCTCTGTCTGGCCAGACTCACAGGGCTGTAGTCAGTGATGTACAAAGTTCAGATTTGGAAATAAACCCCCGCAGGTCCTTCAGGTTTGTTGCAGATGACCATCTGCCCCTCAGTGCTCCCCAGCAGTGCTCTCTGACACTCGAAGATGGTAGCATTTGCACAGCCAGCTGTGCTGTTGCCTAAACTTGGCCTTCGATAGAAACCCTGGCCCCTGTAGTGCTTTGGTCCCCTTTGAAGACCCATCAGCCATCAGAGTGCCTGTGGCTCTTTCCACTGTCAGCCCCTGCTAGGCCCGCTCTCTCAGGCTTGGGTACAGCACAAGGTCAGTGTGCGGCAGGTTCCTGGTGGGTCTGGTCACAGGTGTCAGTTTTAGAAGACTGGCCCCATATAAAGCCTACAAGGTCGCCTCTCCTCCAGTGTCCTCTGCAGCAGGAGCTGCCCCTAGGTGTGGCTTGCCAGGCCTGCTGTCACTAGGTGTTGCAGTTGCACATAGCATATATGCCCAGAGATGATGCCAGCCACTGTGGCCTCTGCCCTTTCTTCAAGTCTGGTCTTGCTCACAGCTGGGAAGAACAGTGAAGCTGGAAGATTGGTTTAATTAGAGTTACTAAAGACCAACTGAAAGCCTGCCTTTTACTGTGACGTAGATAGCTATAGGTTTTAGTTTTCCCAACTGCAGTTTGCTCCCAGACCTTGATGGATACTCAGTTAAACTGTTTTACCGGTTTTTGGCAGTTTCCCTACCAGAAGGAAAAAAAAAAAAAAAAAACAAACACATGAGCAGCAGTTCTGTGTGGCTTTTCTGGTGCCCTGTTCATTGATATCTGGTAAGAACCAGAAGGAGGGGCTGGGGATTTAGCTCAGCAGCATAAGCACCTGCCTTGCAAGCAGGCAGTCGTGAGTTCGATCCCTAGTACCGATAAAAAGGAAAAAGACAAAAAAAAAAAAAAAAAAAGAACCAGAAGAAACACAGCCATTTTCTCTGCCAGGCAGAGGGGATATTCTTTGATCTCTAGAAAATCCCATCATGCTTTTCCTGTCTCAGCCAGTTATTACAGTGAGAGACAGCATTGTACACTTCAGAAAATGTGGACAGTTCCAAGAAGGTTCGGGGAGAGGTGCTGGAGAGTGAGCTCATGCCTGGGGTGCTGGCCACATGCTGGATCACTGAGTAGCCCTGTAGCCCCACGGGCTTTTGATGAAGTGTAAACTCAGTGGAGCTGAAGTATGGCAGGAGTCAAGCAGGGCTCTCCCTCGTGCTGTTCCCAACTGTGGAGCCCTGCCCTGTGCTGGGCATGGTGCTCGGCTCTGGAGGCAACAGGCACAGCCCTCTTGGGGCTGCCTCCAGCCCACCGTCCCATGGGAGGGGTTACTCATGTGTCCCAGCTCCTAGAAGTGTTCCACAGAAATCTGTTCTTCCTGACCCTGCAGTATGACTGGATCATAGTGTGTCCCTTCCTTTATGATTATAGGGTTTTGTTGTTTTTGAGGTACTGGGGATTGAATCTAAGACCTTTTTGAAGTGAACTGCATCCCCAACTCTCTAAAAAATTTTTCTTTCTTTTTTTTTTTTTTGTGCTATGGATCGAACTCACAACTTTGTACTTACCAAAAAAGGGCTTGAACAACTAAGCCAAATCCTTGGCCTTTTAAAAATATTTTTTTAGCTTGAGACAAGGTCTTACTAAGTTACTGGGCTAGGCTCAACCTTGTATTTCTCCTGCCTCAGCCTTCTAGCATTTTGGGATTACCATTTTATACCACTGTGTTCGGCTGGTTTTAAAAGTTAGTATTTCAAAAAAAAAAAAAAAAAAAAAGTTACTATTTCGCAAAGAACTGTTTACCTTGATACTTTCTGTCTGTTGCCTTTAAATCATAGCCTAGTAGTCCAGTGTATGGAACCATTTAAGTTGTTTCAGGTTTTTCTCCTATTATATGTAATGCTGAGAAAATGTTTTTTTTTTGGAGGCGTATCAGTTAGGCTAAGTGGCTGAAACCCTGGGCACAAATATAGTTATTCAAAGAAATGTCTGCTTCTGGTTTTTTCCTAGGCCTTGTGCTTGAGTCCAGGGAACTGTCCATTCGAGGCAAGCGTCCTGCCATTGAGCTGTGTCCCCAAGCCCAGTCTTGCTTTTTCCGAAACCATGCAAGGCTGATGTCCTAGGTGGGGTGCACTTCATTCCAGAGGCTGGGGCACCGTGGGCCTGTGCAGCTTCAGAGGTGGCCCTGCTTGGCAGTCAACACCACAGCCACCTGCAGGAAGGCAGAGGCCATGGCTTTGTGGGCCAGGTCTGCCCCAGGGAGGTCCCCTGAGGCAGGTGGGTGGCCTGCTGAAGGCTGCACCTGACTCCTATGCACACACTGACAGCTCTCTTGGGCTTAGTGGGAAGCCATGTACACAAAGGGCCTACAGATCTTTACTGTGTTTGTGAGTCCTCAAGCCAAGAACAGCTTTCACATCCTTAAATTACTGGGGAGAAGAAAGCATTTGTGATACGTGTAAGGCAGGCAGTTGAGACCACACTGTACATGGATAGTTTGCTGAGACACAGCCACAGGCACCCCTCCTATTGGTCCCACGACTACAGAGAATAGAGCACTGCTGCATATGCTTCTTGGCTCACCACCACGCTTGACATGTTACAGAAAAGCTTCATTGGCTCCCTGATTTAGGGCTGTATGCAGACCTGCCTCATGCCATGGGGAGGTAGAAGCCTTGGATTCCTCAGGCTCGGGAGGCCCTCAGCCCTGAACGCAGCTGTTGACTTTCCTAATTGCTGGTTACCCAGCATGCCTCCTGAAAACAGCTGCCTCACGAAGCTTCCAGTGCTGGGGGACACTGTTCTGCCTCCTGGTTTCACCCTCTCTGCAGCAGCCTGGCCCTTCTCATTGCACTGGTAGTCAGGTGTCACTTATTCCAGTGCCAGCAGTACCCTTCCTCCAGGGTGATGCTGCTAGAGTAAGTCAAAGGCTCACCATGCCCTGGGGCCCCACATTGAGCTACAGTAACAGTCCCGCACAGCTGCTGTGGACTGATCAGGGGTGCAGGGAGGTATTCTGCCCTTGGAGTCACCTAGGAAGCAGGCTGGCAGAGTTTTGGTGTCTTCAGTCTGTGACCTGTTGTACCCCTCTAGATGAGTCATTGCTGTCCCAGCTTATAGAGTACCAAAGGCGGTCTGGAAAAGGCGCAGTCAGATGCATGGCCTGATCCAGAAGCAGCCCTGGCTTCCGAGTTCTTTTCTGTAGGAGAGAACTTGCCCCTTTGCTGCAGAGAGGTTAGAAGATGTGTGCTGGGAAGATTTGGTTGGATTGGCAAGTGTTCTGCCACAGGGAGGCTTCTAGGTATCCTGAATAAAGTGGGAAAATAGCGAAAGGCATGCTGCAAGCACAGGTTGGTTTATAGGAAAATAACTATGCAAACACAATTTTTACATGCACCGTCCAATGCACTGAGAGTCAAATTTATCTATTTTCAGGCCATTGCACATTACGAACAGTCTGCTGATTATTACAAAGGAGAACAATCTAACAGGCGAGTAGTATTTTCTTGCTGGTAGATGGTGGGTTTTGTGTGTGTAATACAAGACAGATGCTTTTTATGCTCAAGTGAAGGACACAGGGCCCTGGTGGGCACGGTGCCTTATCCTGCAATGCTTACTTGTCTTCTTTGCCTATTTGCAGCTCTGCCAACAAGTGTCTGCTGAAGGTGGCTGCCTACGCCGCGCAGCTGGAGCAGTACCAGAAGGCCATCGAGATCTACGAGCAGGTTGGGCTGGCACCTCCATTCTTAGAGGACACAATTTGCATGCTGCATAGTTGGTCCTTTTAATGAGTACAGCTCAGAGTTTCAGACACATTCACAATCTGTGTATGACCTAATTCCAGCACCTTCCCATCGCTCCGTCTCCTGGTTCCCACCTGTGTCTAGGTGATGGAATCTAGTTCTTTTCTGTGTTGGGCATTCACCGTTTCCATGTCTTCCCTAAGCTCCTCTTTGTTTTCAATCTGTATCTACTCTAGATGTACTAATCCCTTCTTTCATCGGAGTTGTCATCTCTTTAATTACTTCTGTTTTGTTTTTGTCAAAGTACTGATTTGTGTTGTTACTTCTGCCAATGCCATTTCATAAAATTTCACTGGGTGATTTTTTATTTCTTCCACCTCACTGCCCTCTTAATTTGCCTCAGGTAAATTGGGAGTTAGGTATTTCCTCACTTTTTATTTTTTTGCTATTTGTTTTCTCTGTTGAGGCTTGGAAATTGCTTAGAGTAGGTAGTTTTATTATTTCTGTCAAGACCTCTTGGGCCGGGGGTTTAGCTCAGTAGCCTATGAGCCTGCCTGGCAAGTGCAAGGTCCTAAGTTTCTCCCTGGTACCAAAAAAAACCTCTTTAGGAAGTGGCTACTTCTCAGAGACATCTTCTAGGCATAGCTGGCTTTTGGCTTTTGAGTCTGTTTCAGGATTCTGCCTCTATATCAGGCACGGTGGTGTCTGTAATCCCAGTGCTTGGGAGGCTGAGGCAGGAGGATTACAACAGTTTGAGGCCAGCCTGAACTCAAATAGCAAGACCCTGTCTCAAAAAAATGTTTTTTTACTTTTGTAAAAAAAAAAAATTAAGAAAAACCAAAAATAAACCAAAAAGATAACTTTAAAAACAAAAATAGAAAAACAAAACAAATAACAGGATTCTGCCTCTTCAGTTTATTAGAGATGAAAGGTTGCTGTCTATTTGGCCTGGCACCCACTTCTGTGCTACTGGCCTATAGTAATGTTTATGACCCCCCCAGACAATCTAGTTATTGGCATATAAGAAGGATTAGTTGATCACAATTGTGTCAGCTTGGCTAAAGCAGTACAGTGAGCAATAGCAATAGCATCAAGCACAGACTGGAAAATGACAAACTATGCTAACTGTTAATTTGTCACCTTTAACCATAGGTACAAGATTGATGGTTATATAGCAAAATCTAAGAAAAATCTGGAAACTATACAGCAGATATCCCCTCAATACAGTGATTTTACCCTAAGGCAAGAACATATAAAAGCAATAAGAGGAAAAAATAGAGGAATAAAAGAAGAAAAGAGGTTAGAAGCAAGGACAAGGGAAGAGTACCCAAGCCTGGGAAGCTGGCAAAGGAGACTGGAGAGAAGGAAGAAACGTAGCAACAAAACAAAAGAAAAAAACTGAAAGCAGTGTTCACACTCACAACAAAAACAGTGGAAAGAAAGACTCACAAGAGACAAAAAAAAAAGAAATGTCTCAGGGATTCCAAGCCTGGGATTATTTTCTGGGGTCTGCAGTCCTGTGACACCTGTCCAGGTCACTGCTCTCTGTAGACTGCAGAGGTGGAGGTGTCCAGCGCCCAGATCCATGCTGAAGGAGCCAGCAGCCTGTGGCATGGCTAGGTGGGGTGCCAGATATAGGACTTTCAGATCCACAGGGTTGGGGTTAACCTGGCCTCTGGCCATGGGATTGGGGCCTGAGTCATTCAGTTTATAACTTTCTGGATGTCCTTGGCTACCTGAGCGCACTCCCTACCCTGGATGTCTCCTGTGGCCGGCCCTCACCCGGTCACTGTGGGATTTTGACACTGGGAGCCCTGAGATGGAGCTAACCCACAGCTCCTCTGGATCCTGGGTTCACTTGGGCCATCTAAATTGGCATCTGGCCAAGCCAGGGGACACAGCAGTTGCCTAGACTGAGCCACTCAGCTGTCTACTACTCCACTCTGCGGACATGGTTCTCCCGGAGGCCCAGCTTTCCTGCATCTCTGGATCTTATCCCCTCTCTAATCCGATCCCAAGGCCTCCACACCTTCCCCAGGGCCTTCGGCTCTGACCCAGTTCTCGCACATAAGGAGGCTGAGCCTAGCCTGCTCCACACAGACTCTCCACCGTCCTGTGGTTCTGGGACCCTTGCTGAAAACTGCTTCACCTCCAATGAGCCTCTCTGGGGCTCAGATCCAATGGGCCAGCTTGTCCATCTTTCAGCCATATTACTTTATTTTGGTTACTGTATCTTTATGGGAAGCGAAACCAGGAATAGTCCCACAGTGGTTTTCTTCTTTCTCAAGATTATTTTGACCATTCTGGATCCCTCTTCCTGTAAACTGTAGGGTAATTTGTTGATCTCTATGTTTTCCTAGGGATTGTGTTGCATGTGCAGATAACTGAAAGAGTGCATCGGTCAGGGTTTTCCAGACAGTGCCAGCAGGGGACATGCAAGTGCATGTGCGTGAGCGTGTGTGTGCAGGGAAGAGGAGAGGAGAGATGATGGTAAGAAGCAGGCTCCCTTGATGGGAGGCTAGGAAGTCCCAGGGTCTGCAGGTTGCGAGCAGAGGGCCAGATGCCAGTCCAGGTCTGGGCCCTAGGCAGACAGTGCGGCAGCTCTGGCAGTCAGGTGCTGTGGGTGAGTCAGTCACATGTCCTTTGGGTGCCATCAGGGCCTTGGTTAGATGGGTCAGGCTGCCCGCAGACACCCCACTGCTCCTGGTGCTCCTGGCATGGCACTTCCAGATGGGTTTCACCAGATCCGGCAGACAGCATCACTGTTTCACCTGCATTAGGTCTGAGTCTACTTAGATCTGCTCTGATTTTGCTCAAAAATGTTTTGCAGTTCTCAGTGTCAGCCTCGTGATTCTTTGGTTAAATATATTACCAAGTATTTTACTTTTTTGGATGCTGTTGGCAATGGGATAGTTTCCTTATTTTCCTTTTCAGATTATATAGAAATACAGTTGAGTTTTGCAGATTTTTGTGTCTTGCAGCAGTTCTGAATTTGTGTATTAGCTCTAGTAGATCTCTTGGTGGGTTTTTCAGGATATTTTTGTATGTAAGTTCACATCATCTGCAGACAGCAGTGTTCTACCTTTTCCTCTGCAATCTGAATGCCCGTTGCTTCATTTTCCTGCCCACTGTCATTGGTGGAACTTCCAGTACCAGCGATACTTAACGGTGGGAGCAAATACTGTTCTTTTGTTCATGATTCAAGAGGAAAAGTTTCTTTTCCTGCATGATGTCAGCAGTGCCTCCCTGTCTCAGTATTGTAGTTGACCCCAGAGCCTTCCCACTGAGCCATACTCTTTGAACTTGTGATCCTCCTGCCTCAGCCTCTCACTGTTCTGGGATTATAGGTATTAGCTATCATACTTGGCTTAACTGTTAATTTTTTGTAAGTGCTTTCCATTGGTTTGGGGAAGATCCCTTCTTTTCCTAGTCAGGGTTTTATCACCAAAGGGTTTGGATTTTTTAAAAAGTATTTGTACTTCCACTGAGGTAAGCATGTAGCCTTTGTCCTTTATTCCATTAATATGGTATATTACATTCATCTTCACGTGTGAAATCAAACTTAGGTTCCTGGGATAAATCCTGTTTGGTCACTGCAGAATTTCAGTGTGCCCCAAGACACCTCCAGTACTGTGATGTGCCGGAGGGACTCAGCTCAGTGAAATCTGCTCCAGTCCCAGTGAAGGATCATCCCAGAAACAGCTGCAGTGTGAATCAGTGGAGAAGAGGCTTGTGGCACCAGTGGGGAGAGCTCCAGGCATGTGCCTTGTCACTGCCAGTGGGCCTGGGCACATGGTGTGATGACAGAGCACCAGCTGGGTGGACCCTCAGCCTGCCACCCTGAGCTTACTGGGCCTAGTTGGCCACCCGGCAGCCAGCCTGATCCTCTACCCTGCATAGGCTGAGCTGTACCATAATGCCTGGGCCCTGCTACACAGTGCATTCTGTAAGGCTGGGAACCCAGGGACTTGGAGGTGACCTCCAGGAGCTGGGCAGTGGGCAGCTCAAGCCTTCACTGCATGTGCTTTGCATGCATACAACCCTTCGAAAGTTGCCAGAGGAAACTTGCCAATACTTAGGGTTTCATGAGGATATTCACAAGGGACAGGGGTCTTGAGTTAGTGTGCCTCAGTATGTGTGACGTTTTCGGAATCTAGGTAATTCTGGCCTCAGAATGAAAAGACTTTGTAAAGGATTGATGTTAGTTCTTCTTTATTAGTTTGGAAGGACTCGGTGATTTTTCTCTCTTTTCTTTTTACCAATTTCTGTCTTCATTTCCTATCTGCTTTCTTTGGTTTTATTTTGCTCTTTTTTGTTCTGGGCATTTGCAGTAGAAGCTTGCTTAGCTTTCTGAGTTTCCACATTGGTATACATTGCATCTTTAGTGATTTCAATTACCTTTTCAGCACTGTTTTAAACTTGTATTTTGTTATTTTAATGCATTTCATTGTATTTATAGATTTCTCTTGAAACCTCACCACCCCATTTAGTCAGTTTTATGTACTTTGCCCAAGCTCAGAGGTTTTCATGTTATCTCTGTCTTGTTCCTCTCCAGTTAACTCCTCTGTGATGGAGAACACACCTGGGGTGGTTTCAATGCCCAGAGCCTCACTGAGGGCTGCTGAGGGCTGAGCAGCCTGAGGCAGCGGCCTGGACAGGCCTCTTCTGTGCTGCTGCTGCTAGCTGGCTCCTTTGACGCTGGTCGGGTCCTCTTGGTGGATGACTCTGTCAGGTTCTGTGAACTTGGGGACATCTGTCCATTTCTGCCCACTATCTCAAGTACAGTGTACAGTCATCCAAGTATTGTAATCCTCTTTTTAGTTTTCCTCATAATCCAAAAAGTTATATTTGTAATCCCATTGAGATGTTATTGGAATCCCAACAAGTTAATTTTAATCTACCACCAGCAGTGCAGCCTATGGCGAGAGTAAAGACACCAAGACATATTCCAAATTAGGGGTCCTAAGTCTAATTCTTGTGAGGATTTGCTGACAAAGGCCTTGATCCTAGGCCTCTCCCAGAATTTTTTATCTTGTGAAGAAGGGTGGTGGCTCAGGGTTGAGTGACAGTGAGGATGGTGGGAATTATGTGAGTAATTTGAGCTGGCTAGCCAGGTAGGGAGAAAGGCATCTCTGTAAATTGTGGAGATAAAGATATGCAAAAGGTCAATTTACATAATCTAATTAAGGTGGCAACTAAATTGTTTTGGGAGACTGCAGCTTTGGTTTTCCATAGGTATACTCTTGTGCCCTGGGGAGTCATAGCCTCTTTACTTTGAGACTCCTACCAAGTTGACATTCCCGAAGCTATTAGCTCTAACATCTGGCTGTGCTCATACCCTTTACAGGGAGAACACTATGCAAGGAGACAGGACTGTCTGTTGGCTTTAGAGATTACATACCAGCATCTCAGCTAGTCTTATTTGCAATGCTTAGAGCCAGTTGAAGAGAGAAGGAAATACCATAGCCAGCTATCTACATATCAGTATAATGAAATAAATCTCCAAATAATCAGAGGTGCAGTAATTGTTTTGCATTCAAGGGAAGTCACTAGAGTTGTCTTCCACATCCACTGTTGGAAGTTGGGTGATGCAGTCTTTATGTCATTGTGGACATAAGTCTCTTTTCATTCTTTGTTTCACATTTTTGTAGCTCTGGGTTGCGGTTCCCAAAAGATTGATTTTTATCCTGGGTGTAACATTTTGTCTTTGATGACATTTGCTTTGAAGACTATTTAAATCTGCTTGATAACCTGTTCTTTCTTTCTTTGTAGTACTGGGGATTGAACGTAGGGCCATTGTGCCGAGCTATATCCCCAGCCCTTTAAACATCTGATTTTTTTTTGACATGAGGTCTTGGGCGAACTTGTGGTCCTCCTGCTTCAGCCTCCCAGTGTGCACCACCACACTCAGCTATCTTCTGTTTTCTTTCAATTAATGTTTATGCATATCTCTCGAGCCTTCTCCTTTTAAGTAGCCTATAATTATTATAATTGAAGTAAATATCTTGAGTTTCTTATAGTTTGGTGCCATTTTTAAATCCACTCTAATCTCTCTTTTATTGTATTTAAGTCAGACACATTTAATTTCTGATTCACTAGGGCTTACATCTCTTATTTGAGGATTGCTTTTCTTTGTGCTATTTTTGCACCTCTTTTCTTCATCCTTCCTTCTTGTGGTACCAGGCTTTCTGTTTCACTTACTGTGTCTCCACCAGCTCGTTTCATCGGTTGCTTGGGTACCACCTTTAATCCGTGCAGCCTGTCCCAGATGCCAGGGTCGTGACTGCAGAAGCCAATGAGGGAGATACCTACCCGTCCAGGTTCAGTAGTTGCCTGTCTCGATATTACAGTGTGGAGGTAGAACTTCTATCAGTTTCCTCCCGCTGTCATGCAGCATCCATATGCAGTCAACCTGCTGCCACTCCCTCCTGTTTCCTCTGACTGGGGGCGTCTGGGTTTCCCTGTTGTTCCTGACACAGTTCCCCGAGCACTCTGTTCTGGGTTGTTCATTTTCTTCTGTACGAAGAGGACTCTTTCGTGCTAGCTGGGTATTGTTTTTCTTGGGCTGTGTTCAGATTCTGCTCCTTGTTTTCCTGTGTCAGAAGTTGGAATCCTATAGTGCAGCTTGTAGTAAGTACCTTGTTTCATCTTACTTGAGCTTTGCTAACCTTGAATTGCTTTGGAACAGTGATTCCGAAACTGAAGTCTTTTTTTTTTTTTTTTTTTGTCTTTTTCCTTTTTAACGGTACTGGGGATCGAACTCACGACTGCCTGCTTGCAAGACAGGCGCTTATGCCGCTGAGCTAAACCTCCAGCCCCCATAACTGAACTCGTAAGGTTGGGGTTTTCTAGAGGGCTTTACTGCTGTCAGATGGCAGGGCAAGACTTTAACTCTGCCTTCTGTGCCAGGTCGGGGCGAACACAATGGACAACCCACTGCTGAAGTATAGCGCCAAGGACTACTTCTTCAAGGCGGCGCTCTGCCACTTCATCGTGGATGAGCTCAACGCCAAGGTAAGCCGGCCCAACTGGGATAGCCACAGGAGGGAGTTGGGGCTGTAGCCCATGGCCAGACCAGGCAGGCATTCTCCTCACACTCATGCTCACCTTCACACTGCACTGGGGAGGTTATGAAGGAACCAGACAGTGGAATAACTGAGGAGTGGGCTTAGTTGAAGATGGAGAGACCCCAGACATCACAGTGGAAGCTGGGATGCAGACAGGGCTGGGCACCAGATAGCCATTGGGGCTGCAGAAGGAAATGCTGGCTCAGGGTCAGGGTCAGGGTCAGATGCAGCTAGGGAAGCGCCTCTCATCTAGCAGATGCAGCACTAGCAGGAATGGGAGGCGGCCCTCCTAGTCTAGTGAGTCTGAAGTTGATGAGTGCCTTCTCACCCTCAGCTTGCTCTCGAGAAATACGAGGAGATGTTTCCAGCATTCACTGACTCAAGAGAGTGTAAATTACTGAAAGTAAGTATTAGGAACTATAAAGAAGCAGCCTTGCTCCTGTATGTTGGCGCCTCTGTGGTTTGGGCACAAGGTCAGCTTGCTCCAAGGCTTGCCATGCTCCTGCTGTTCCTGTGGTGTGTGCCACCTGCGAGTGAGAACGAAAGCCTGTGTGTCCCCCAAAGGCCAGCTCCAGGGGCGGCACTTGCCCTGGGGCCCTGAGGTCCTGGCAGCCTCCATTAATGCAGTACTAAATCTGGATCTGTTTAAAGTATCCATTATGGGCTGGCGGGTTAGCTCAGTGGCTAGTAAGCCTGTTTGTGAGTTCAATCCCCAGTACCAAAAATAATTAAATAAATAAATAGTGTCCCTTTAGAAATGGGACTTTCAGGGCTCAATTAGTTAATTGATTTTTTTTTTTTTTCCCAATGCTACCAGAAACTTCTAGAAGCTCATGAAGAACAGAACAGTGAAGCTTACACTGAAGCAGTAAGTTAGACCCTTAGGACACGGTGCATTTTTGAAGGTTTATTTTATGGAAACTTCTTCCCCTTTCTGTTGTGTTCATTTGAACATGACTCTAGCAGTATTTCCCAAAGGTCATGTTTCATTTCCCCACAGATTAGCCCAGTGATGGTGAGCTTTTAGAGCTTTCCATGGTAACAGCCACTGCGGCCCACATGGCCTAGGTCTGCCTGCGGCAGTGGGCAGTTGTGTCCAACATTGTTCTTGACTCAGCCGTGAGGTTCTGTTGAGAGCAGAGGACATGTGTTGCTGTGCCTGCTGTCTCACTTTTTCTTTTGAAAATGATCTGATTCATAAATAAGAGTAAGATAAACTTTGCTCAAATATAAAGCATAAAAACTAAGTTCATATTTATAGCGTAAGATATAGCATAAGAGATTCTTGTCTCTTGTGTGGTCCTATCTTTACCATGTTGTGTTTGGAATCGAGTAGATTTCTCTGTGACCTGTGGTAATACATTCACTGTAAGCTAGGCATATTGGTACACACCTGTGATTCCAGCATTCTGAGGTGGGCAGATTGCTGCAAGTTCAAGGCCAGCCTAAACCACGGAGCAAGACCTTGTCTCAAAAAACAAACAAAAATATGTTCATCAGGAGCCTGAAGAAGGCGTGAGGAAGATTATCTTCCTATTTAGCTTTTCCCCAAACCATTCCCTTGGTGGCCCTTGGCAACATGGTAAGGTGTGTGACAAGGCTTTTGCCTCGGTACCTCCTGGCTCTGGCCCCTGCCATGGGGTGGGTTAATTATCCACATCCTCCCTGCATCCAGCTTCCTGCCACTCTTTAGTTCCTATGTGTGCCTGCACACATCCACATACAGAGCAGTATGATAACGTACAGGTTGGCACCAGTGCCATCAAAATAGTCGTAAAATAATGAGAAGCAAGCTTTCCAGACTTCTTCCATGGGGCTAGGGCTGACCCCAGCCATGCTCCAGTACACTGATGAAGGAAGCTGCTGGGTTATTGTGGGAAAGGCTCTAACAGCTCAGCCCACTGCCGGGGGGTTAATGTGTTTCCACTGGGTAATTCCTGTTCCTCATTTCTTAAACCAGGTAAAGGAGTTTGACTCGATATCGCGCTTGGACCAATGGCTGACCACCATGCTGCTGCGGATCAAGAAATCCATCCAGGGTGACGGCGAGGGGGATGGGGATCTGAAGTGAAACCTCCCTGTTGCGGTGGCATGTAGTGCACTCCTCTTTAGTTTGTTTTAGGGCTGAGTGACCCTGTGGGTGCCCATTTATGGCTTCATTCTGTTGCCCGTGAGCCCAGCGATGTGTGTCCCTCCACGAGCCTTGTCTGCGTCCCTGTGAAGCAGCCGAGCGGAGGCTCCTGTTGCCGTTGTGTTTGTGACGACCAGAGTCCATTTCATGCTCGGCCCCAGAGCTTCCTGGGTCGTGCTTCCAATCTTCCTCCTGCTGCGACGTCCAGGCCTAGCTTCCTGTTGCCACGTGTGTTCCGGTCCTGGATCCTGGGACTCGGCTCTGTCCCTCATGGCTGCCTCTCGAACTCCATGCATGGCGTCTGGATGTCTTCCCTCTGTGCATCCATTGGGTGGATGCTAGGATGAGTTGATGATCTCACGAGGAACAGCTGAGTTTTATTCTGTATCATAACTGATGGTGCTGGTGACAGCTTTGCTTTTGTACAGCCCATTTGTTCCTGAGCCCAGAGCAAGCATCTCGGGGTGGGCAGGCTGCCTGGGCAGCGTGCGAGAATGGCATCGCCTTTGCCCATCAGTTGAACTTGGTGTTCAGGGTCAGGAACAGGAAATCCCAGTGTGCCAGGCAGGCCACCTACCTTTTGTCTGGGGATCGGGTTGTCTCCATGCTGGTGGGCTTGCTGTGGCCTGTGCATGCTGATGAGCAGAGAATGTGGTCCTCCAGGTCCTACACTCTGACATGGCTCATCCTGAGTCTCCTGTGAGTATTTTTGTGCTGAAATGATTTGAGATACGATGCTGCCTGACAGTTCTTGCATCTCTTTCTAAATTGCACTGCTGCCCTTAGTGCCAGCTCCCCAACCCTCTCATGTTTTGTCAGGTGGTGAGGAGGGTCTGATGGGGTCACCATTTTAGTGGCCCTTGGGAGTGTTGGGTCTCTGCTGGGCCAGTGGAAAGCCCAAGAAGGGGTGCTGGAGAGCAGGTCATTAGCCTGGCAGGGTTGGGGGAAGATAGGGAAGCCTGGGCAAAGGCTGATGTGGAAGCTGCTGGGGAACGCCCAGTGTCCTGGGTGCAGGAACTCAGGAGCCATGTCTGGTGGGAGCAGAGTACCGGGCTCAAGGCTTCCTGTGCAGTTCTGGGTCTTGAATGGAAGCGTTGTCTGTGAGGGTGTGGCTTGGACCAAAAAGCCTAGGTCCTCTGTGACCGCGTGGACTCCTCTGAAGCAGTGGCCACAGGAACAAGGCTCTAGGCTGGCCGTGTGCACATCGGGAGTGGAAGCCCTGTGGCTCCGAGTTGGTTTCAGTAGTAGCCGGCCGGGAAGCAGTGTTGGTGCTGCCTGCCAGGTACCTGGTCTAGTGCTCAGCAGGACGCCACAGGTCCCTGGCAGAAGGGGCACTTGTCAAAGACGGCATCAGACAGAGCAGCTTGTTTCATTAAAATAAATGCTAGGATCAGTGCTTGGGGAAAAAGTACTTTTGTATCTTGTATTTCTTGTGGAAAGAATAAAAGTGATTACAGTGGTGAAGACAGACCTGCCAGAACCCATGAAGGAGGGTGGAAAGGAGCAAACTCACTTCCCCAAATGTCCCCTGGACGCAGAGCCCAGGGCTGCGCAGTGAAGCTCTGCGGATGTCAGAGTACTCTGTGAGCAGAGCAGGATGGTTGTTTATGTTACAGTTCTTGTTTCTTTGCAGCTCTGGGGTCAGTTCATAGTCAAAGTCAGTTCATATTTCTTACAGAAAAGCTTTGCTTTTTGTGGCAACAATTTTATAGCTTGTGTGATTTCCTTTTTTAATGATATCTTGAAAACAGTATTTTTGCACACTTGTGACCATGTGTGGTGGTGTCACTGTAATCAAAGTATATGCACCAGCCCTGTGCAGTCATTGTTGCTCTGGTGTTGTGCGTTCCCTGTGTTCCAGTGCAGACCTTTGAGGCTTCCTTTGGAGGCTTTGCAGCCGCATGCCTGTGCCCTGCCCACTGCAGAATGACCTGAGTTGTCCTCTGCAGGGAGCAACAGTATAAAAACCAACACATAAAGATAAACCGACCTTAGCAAAAAGAGTGTATTTGTTTTACGTGAACCAGTACAATAAATAAAGTGTAAATTATGAATACCCTCTTGACGAGTCTTTCCTGGTTACACTGACATGGTTCAGAAGCAGCTTCCTTTCCTGAAAGCCATCTACTGAAGTTTAAGGCAGGCAGTCCTACACTGCATATCCTTGCACAGCCAGGCCAAAGTGCAGCAGGAAACCCAAGCTCAGCTTCACTGACCTCATGCCCCCATCCCTTCCCCAGGTTCTGAGGGCTCCAGACTCACTTGCAAGCGGAGTGGCACTAGAGGCCTGTGTGCAGTGTGGAGGCAGGGACCCCAGAAGCCTGGCACTGTCCCAAGCACAGAGGGGCCTGTGTGGGGCTGTGGTGCCAGCTTGTCCTGCCATGCGGTTGCAGAGCCTGGACTGCTTACATGTCAGGTAATTCAGAGCAGGTTCAAGGAATGCCTGGCAGAACAGGCCGCCCCAGGCCAGGAACATCTGAGAACTGGTGGGCCCAGACAGCCCCATAGCCCCATGGGTCTCAGTTGGTTCCTAATGGGGGAGTCAGGCCTGGCTGGGCTGCCTTGGAAAGAGGCTGTGCAGACAGCCAGAGGATGGCTTCTGAGTGGCCTGCTGGCAGCCTGTGCACAAAGGCCTTGGCACATGTGTCTCTCCCACCAGCTGAAATAAGGTTGCAACTTCTGTTCCACAAGGATGTTGAGTTGGCTTAGCGTACTCATTTAGGCAGCCATCTCATTTAAGCAATGTAGATGTCCTTGACATGTGACAAGGAGTAACCTCGTGCAGGTGAGACTGACTCATGTTGCACAGATTTGTGCAGATAAGCGCTGTGGACGTATCTCCTAAGGTCTGCCCCACTCCCAGCCCATTCTCTGCAGCTGTGCAGCAGGCAAATGTAGCAAAACTAAAGGCCATGAGTCCTTCAGGGTTTGCCTTTTCACACAAAACGTTTGCAGCGGTACCAACTCACCACTTCAGTGAACTTTGACACCTTGGCAGCTATGTATTATCACTCATTGACCTAATCACCTGCTTGGCATGAACATAGCAGGGCAGCCTTGCTTTCACTGGTGGGGCTGTACTTGCACTAGGAGAATCAGGACCCACTCAGGGCCCTGCAGCAAGGCTTCCATCACTGTGGATGCCTCGCTTTCAAGGGTAGCTGTACTCTGCTAGAAAAGGAGACAGAAGTGAATACAGTGGCAGTCTCTTTGGCAACACTGAGGGGACAGGCAGATGTCCCTGTTGCTCACAACCTGTCAGCTCCAGCACAGCAGGGGCTATCCCCCCACCCTATGCTTTCTGAGTCCAATTAGGGACTCTGCAGGCCCTGATGTAGCATCATACATATGATGAAGCAGTCAACACCTGTTTCACCAAATACTGTATTTCCACAGATGCTAAGGTATAACCCTGTACATAAACTTACAACTGCAGGACTACTTCAAAAAGCAACATTTATTAACACATTAACCCATTTTGTGCAGAACTTCTAAAGAAACAAATTCAAGACAAAAATTCTTCCAGCAGGTAACAAAATACTCTTGTTTAGATTCCTTTCCCTCAAGATGTCTTTATCCCATAGAATAACCCATCAGCTGGGCAGTCCCTCTGCAGACTGAGACGGCTGTGAGGCATCAAGGTTTTGTTCTGTAAACAACGGACACAATGATGCCTCCTGACTGAATCTGAAGTGACTGAGGCTGACCTTCATGTGCGGTGTGAGATGTCACCAGCGCTGAGCTCTGTGGCTCCCCAGTCACTCACACATGGGAGCCACATGTTGTGCCCTGCAGAGAAACCCCTGTAGCCTGGCACCCTCCTCCAGGAGGACCAGTGTGCACACAAGTTAATAAATTAAAGATGCAGGGAGAAAATCGACCAGGGGAACAGAACTCTCTTACAGTCACTCCTCTGAAATGAATGGGGTTACGTTTGAAACAAAGCCTTCCATGAACACAGCCAGGCACCAGGCCCTGCAGCAGCAGTGATAGCACGATCTCATCCATTGTGTTTCTGAATCCAGCATGAGACAGCCAGAGGAGCACTGGAGTCAGTGTCACCGGCCCCATCCAGCTGCCCAGTAAGGCACAGTCTGGACGTGCAAGCCCAGGCTTTGGTCCCTTTCAGGCTCTTGCTGCTCCCAAGGGAGTGGGTCTATGGCTACTGCCGTAGAGAGAAGGTGGGGGTTTCTGGAACGATGACCAAGAGGGAAAAACAGCAAAAATGAATTCTCCACATTGTGAGATGTGCCCTTGTCACCCCTCATTTGACTATGTGTCAAAACAACATTCAAATGCCCTAAAGCCCCTTCCTGCATTCTTCATGCCTCTCTGAAGTACTACACTGTCTCACTAGACTCTTTGGCAGGTCAGCTTTCACCCGTCTGCCTTTAGAAATGAAAGTTAAACAGCCACATGTCATTTCCCCAATAGGTTTCTTGACGAACTCCTTGGTGCACATACACTGTGAAACACACTAGCCTGTGACAGAGTTTGGTTTGTCATTCCTGTTTAGGGCCTGCAGGCAGGAGGCAAGGAGTAAATGCAGTGATCCCTTGGGTCAGGCCTGAGAGAGGGTTCCCACAGAAGATCCAATCGCTTCAGGTCTACTGGGAAGATGCAGCTGAAATCAGACAGCTCCAGCTTGGCAGAAAATGCTTCAAAGCATGTGGAGTGTAAGGCAGGGCAGGACCAAGAAGACTGGAAAGAACACTCGAGAGCCGGGCAGTGCCCAGTTCTGTGCAATGGGCAAGAACGGCCCAGGTGTCAATAAGGCAGTGGACAGGCAGTGCACAGCCTGCACCAGGGCTCAGGGCATGGAGGTCATGCAGGTCAGGACGCCAGAGGAAAAGGTCTGCAAGTGGTATGATGAAAATGTGCTCCTCGGGAGCATCTGAAAGCCACCCGGGCCCACACGATGGCATACGACTCTTCTCAGCTACTGGTGCAGTGTGAAGCAGGGCTGGTTGGGCAGACACTCATTCGATACTGCTCAAAGAGTGAAGCTGCGTGGGCACTGCATCTGTCTGTGGGCTCAGCTCACCAAGCTCCCCCATGGCAGTGGCCAGCAGGGTGTCCTGGGACACCACGGAGGCATCTGCCTTGCAGGCTGTGTGTGCGGCACTGTTCTCCGGCCCGCCAGGGGTGGCTCCCGGCACAGTGGCCAGGCTATCAAAGTGGCCATTTTCAGCAAAGGACAGCAGCTTCTCAGGAAGTCTGGGGGGTGCATACTCCTCATCAGGCTGCTCCGTCTTGTGCTCTTCATCATTCTTGGGTGACCCATCTACAATAACAAGGAAAGACTTCCATGGAGTATTCTTATCGTGGATCTACAAGACAAACAGGACAGAGTCACCACGCGTGCCAACGAAATCCCCAGCTGAGACCCCCGACATGAACATCTTTTAAAATGGCCATTGCCAGCATAAACCCCGCCGCCGCCACTGCTGCTGCTGTGAAACTCCCTTTCACCAACAGCTGTGAAACATCTAGCCAGCACCAGTGCCTCAGTTCTAGGTGTCCACCGTGGCCTGTGCCCCTGGAGCCCAGCCACCACCTCCAGCCCCAAGTTTCCTGGCGCCCACTGTTTACTGAGGTATGCCGCCGCAGGGTGGATTTGTCGGTGAATGTCCGTCCACACGCATTACACATGAACGGCTTCTCTCCCGTGTGGATGCGCCGGTGGCGCTGGAGGGCGTTCAGCTGGGTGAACTGCTTCCCGCACTGATCGCAGCAGTAGGGCCGCTCCCCTGGGTGGAGAGAAGGAAGCAAGTGGCAGCACGGTCTCTTGGCCCACTGTTTCCTGTCTGTGAAACCTGGAATCCTCAGCACCTGCATCCATGCAAGCCCAAGTCCCGCAGCTTGAGGGGCCAATCTGCCCAAGCTTTACATCTCTACCAGAAGTGGCCAGAATCTGTGCCTGGAGTCTGTACTCCCTCTGCAGAGATGACAGCAAAGAGGACGAGAGCTGCAGGTGCCTAGTAACTGTGTGTGTGCGTGCAAGTGAACCTGTAGGCTGTTACCCTTGTATGTAATCAGAATTCAGGATATGCACATCCATATTGACATCCACACCCCGTCTCTCATTTCTGCAAAGGGACAAGGCTGGCTCCCCTGTGCACACCTAATTGTTCCACTTTATAGTTTCTTAGGGTCAGAAAAGACCCTCAAATAGCTATCAGTTGGGCCATTTTGGGGTGGGAGTAAAGCTTCCAAAAGTTTCCTGGTAAATCTGGAAATCAGAGTTGCATCTCTTGCTTGCTACTCTGAACCACCCCCCGGGACACTGCAGCCATACCTGTGTGAACTTTCACGTGCTGGTAGAGTGAGTTCCTCTGTGCAAAAGTCCTGAAACACATCTCACACTTATAGGGCTTGGAGCCAGTATGGATTCTATTGTGGTGCTTTAAGTACTCCTTAGAAGCAAAACTCTTGCCACATGTTTCACACATAAAAGGCTTTTCACCTATGTGAAAAAATGAAAGAAAATTAGGAACAATACTTGAGCATTAAAAGCAGATAGGAAGAACAGATCCACACTTAAAAATGGGCAGCACATTAGGCTTCCTCATTAAAACTCATAAAGCACTTGTCCAAACTGGATGCTTGCTACCTGCTGGAAGCTGGTGTAGCGACTCCTTGGGAAACCAAGAAACTTCCATTAGACTAGAATCTGAGTTACCCTTCAGCCAGCAGTCATTTTAGAAATTTACTTATTCCAAACAAAGAAGCCATTTCACTTCTATTTGGACCATTAAATTATTTTTTAAAAAGCACTTCTGTGGATCTTTATCAGAATAAATGGCATTCTGGAAAGGAGAAAAGACTAGCAGTGGATTTGTACTGTGCCAGTTATGTATATTGCCACGCTACAGGATGCTGGTTCTGGAGTAGTAGCCCTCATCTCCAAACAGAGTGTGTGCCAAGAGTTTATCATCTCACTTTTTGTAGTTTCTGTCTTCTCACAGCTCGGGCTCAACCAGTTACAGGAGTACCCTGATTCGAACAGCAAAGTAAAAATGCTGGCTTTACCAAAACCTTACATTAAGTATCATCAAATACCAGTTCTATGGGATTACTTGGTGTGACCAGATTGTGCCCGAGCCCCAGGGGCCCAAGTGCTAGTGCGATGGTTCACATCAGTGCACATCTCTGTCTTGTCTGCACTCGAACTTGACACCTTTATGACCATGCTTAGAAGTAAACAACAACCGCCTTAGCACACACAGTTAGAACTGTGTGTATTTCTGTGGAGTACACAGCCAGATTCCAGGGTTCACAGACACTGCAGAGCCAGAATAAAGCTGAATTAAATGTTCTCCCTCATGTGCTCAAATTACTTTGCAAAGATTTTGGCAAACAGGAGATGATTCCACCGTCTTGTACCACAAGGGAGCATACAATGGCTGGTTCTCTTCTGGTCTTCCACAGAGTTGGGATTAAGTGTGGGGTTAATTGAGCGTTTTAAAACTCAACCTCCAAGCGCAGACATTTTTGTGCTGCTCAGGACCTGCATCTGCCTCAGGGACCTGACTGAGCCACCTCTTGTGGCTGGACAATCAGGTGGTTTCCAGTCTGTTAATGAAAACAGAAGCAGCCAGCTAACAACTTAACTGCTTCTGTCGTATTTTGGACAGTTTTACTAAGGACAGATTCCTGGAAATGGGTTCGGCTGTGGGACCTGTTTTGTGCCTCTGGACATGGAGCCCCAGGGGCCAGGATTTTTACTCCTCTTTGCTCACTAGATACGAAGCGAGCGTGGCTTCAGCCTGCACCTCCCAGCAGCGCCAGCAGTTTCCCTCCATAGCTAGGAAAGAGTGTCGCCGCAGCGTAGTATTTACCTGTGTGGACCCTTTTGTGGTAAATCAGCATGTGGTTCTGAGTGAATCTCGCCCCACACTCATCACAGACAAAAGGCTTTTCCCCTGTATGAATTCTGAAAGCACAACATCCAGAGGTGACTCAGGGTGGGTTTCAAAGCTCACTCTGCAACATAACTTCCACTTTATCCTGCTGTCATGCGGAGGGACAGACCAATAACTGTCTCCATCCCCCAGTGCCTGAGCTTCCAGGAAAGGCCAGGAGGTGGGCACGGTGCCCTGGGTCCACACAGAGGGGGCTACCACCTCAGCCCCTGCTCAGCTTGTACCCTAGGCCTATGCCCGAGCACCAGCTAGAAACTGTGATACTTCTCCTTTCGAAGGATCAGTCACGACACTGGTGACAGTCGACAAAATACTACCTGGTCAAGCTTTTCCCCTCCTTCCTCATGCCTGGTCTAGAAAGCAGCTGCTTTGGATGCCAGGAGCCTGTGCCTGAGCAATGCGTGTGAGCACTTAGCACAGCAGCCGTAAGCTACAGCAGCCAGGCAGGCTTCACCATGCTCATCCAAGCGAGATTTCACTTTTTACACTGTAGATCGAGGGCCTGGGACCACATGTGAGATTAACAGCTCTCCAGGAGCTAGACTGAAACGGACCACCATCCCCTGCAGCCCAAAACCAAGTTCAAAGAACAGTCCTGATCCCAGACTGGAGGGCCGTGCCTTTCAAATAAAGCCAGCAGATGTCACCTCACTGACACCGTCTGCAGCTCTTCCTCGAGGCACAGAGGGAACTAGCCCCATGTCCCTTGGCTGCTCCAGGCCTGCAGCACAAGCCCTGGTCAGCTGGGGACAGCACATCTGCTGGCCTTGGGTTCTGCGAGGGTGGGGACACCTCCCAAGGCCTTGCCATCTCCTCCAAAGAGAATGCATGTTGTCCCCAAGCCATTTCCCAACTCTGACCATCAAGGGACCCAGCATCCTGTCCCAACCTGCCCGGCCCTAAGCACGCACTGCACCTCATGTGGGTCTTGAGTGCTGAGGGCTGCGAGAAGCGTGCGCCGCAGTCAGGGCAGCCATGTGGCCGGTCACCCGTGTGTGTGCGCTCGTGCAGGCGCAGCGCTGTCTTGGAGCTCAGGCCCTTGCCACACTCAGCACAGCGGTGACGCGCCCCGCCGCCCTCGTGCACATGCAGCACATGCCGCCGCACATCCTTCTGGCGCTTGAACTTCTTCCCGCAGAGCTCACAGGGGAAGTGGCGCTCGCTGCTGTGTACCAGGAGCTGGTGACTCCGCAGGTTGCAGCGGTTGGCAAAGGTCTGTCCACATGTGTCACAGCGGTATACCACCTGGGTGGCCACACCATGGTGCTGCTGGACATGCTTCAGGAAGCTCTTCTCGTACAGAAAGGCTTTGTCACATAGTGTGCACTTCAGATTGCTCTTCTTCTTGCCCTCATCGCCATCACCTGCACCGTCACCCTCAGCCTCCATCCCGGGCCCTGCTGCCCTCGCCCTCTGCAGCACTCCTTTTGCCTCTGGCTCCTCGGCATAGTCCTGGCTTCCGGCCACAGCTGGTGCCATCTCTGCGGGCGTCGTCCCAGCATCCAGCTTTGTCTCTCCAGCTGCCTCAGTCTCTGTGGCCACACTGCTGGCAGGCTGCTCCTGGGGACACTCGCAGTCCTCTCCCACCACTTCCTCTGTACTCTTCTGCTGCTCTCGGAGTCGTCTTGTGTACTTCTTTTTAGGGATTTCCACAAATACCTTTCTCCCCGCCAGCCTTCCACTTGCTCTTCTGATTTTAGGGTAGGGAGGTTTGGCCACATCTCTTTTCTTGTCCAGTTTCTCCTTGGGTTTCCTAGGTGGCATATCTGACAATAAACTGTTGTTGATCTTGTCCCCTGAGTGATCTGAGGCGCCTGCCAGACCATTGCAGTGGGCACCATCCCTTGCCACACTTGCCCTGGAGTCTGCAGCAGGACTGGCCAAGGGGCCACTGCTGGCCTCAGCCTTCTGGGACTCCGAGAAATTCTGTAGTTCCAAAAGGACAGACTCTAACATCTGCTTCTTTAACTGGAAGCAAGTTTCTGACAGGTCCAAACATTTGAGCTTTTCAGCCATCTCCAGCATCCTCTCCACCCGGTCTTCCTTCACCCGCACCTTAGTAGTGTAGACAAACTCAAGGAATGAGGCAAAGTCGGCTGCCTGCACCTCGTGTAGGTACACATTGGTCCTGGTCTCATCCACGCTTTTCTCATTAAGAAACACATCCTTAAAGAACTTGCTGGTGGCCGCCAACACTGCTCTGTGGGCCATGAAGTCTTCTCGGACACCTTGGTACTCCACGCTGATGGTGACGTCACACAGGTGGCCAAGCAAGCGGAGCTTATGCATTTCCCGCAGCAAGTGAAGTGGGGAGGATTTGGATTCCAGCAGAACTGTGCCACTTTCCATCTTTCTTCTTTCCAAACAGCTTTGAAAACAAAAGCATGAACGACATTAGGCATGCGTAACCACCAAAGCAAACGGATGAGAAATGAGGAAGGTCACTCAGTCCCTAGGAGGACACAAGCACAATGACAGTCACTTGTCTCAGGTGAAGATGTACATAGCATTCCACTGCCCAGTTCCTACATGAAAACAGTCATGGCAGGATTTTCCCCAGTGATAAACATAAGTGACTAAAGTTATGCCTGACGAAACACAGCATAGCAGTTATCTGCTTATCAAGGTCATCTGTCATTTGCTCACAGGCACACCCAAAACTATAACAGAATTCATGGCAACAATGATGCCTCTTTCAATGATCAGAAAACCCGATAATTAAAATAAGACACATGGCTGGCATTATGTGGAGACCTTACAAAATCATTTCTGCCACTAAAAACAACCAATTAAATAAAGCACAGCTTTCCACAAGGAAAACCTTCTGAAAAGCAGTCCACAATCCTGTCCCCATGACAACACCCTGAACACTTTGTACAGTGGTACCTCAGTTCATAAGTGCTTTCTATTTGTGAACAACTAACCAGAAGCATTTGCCAAAATTCTGCTTTTGTCTGAAAACTCCACATCAGGTGAAAAACATGACCACAGCTGGCTCTCTTGCATTAACAAACAGAAATGTGGCCATCTTTTCCAAAATCAGAAGGCAAATTAGGTGTACACCGCTGTTCCACTGTAACATAAACCACAGGCACTGAGTCCAGCAGCACAGTGCCAACAGCTGTGAACCAGCGTGACTTCCAAGATACCGTGCGAGCCTACAGCCATTAGCACTGTGCTCCTAGAGCCGGTGACTTGACATCCAAGCCTGGGCTTCCTTGCAGGGAGGGGCACAGGTGAGCACAATGCATGGGGGCTTGCAGTTTCCTCCAGCTGGAGCTGCCATTTGTTGTCATCCCATTCTACAGATGCAGAACCAACACGAGAATGGTAAATGGGGGTGGGGACTGGAGTCCTCAGAAGTTCTCAGTGGAGCCCCTCATCCCTTGCTCCTCTGCTTTGGGGCTGCTAGCCCTGGGTGCCCAGCACTCACCCCACCTTTGTTCCTTCCATGTCCGAAGATTCTTCCACTTGAACTTTCTCTTTGGGGTTCTGCTCCTGAGCCCACCTTCCTCTTCCAAGGCCCCTGTGTCTTTGTCTTTACCCTCCAGAGTACTTACCTTTCTGCCAGTTGCCTTCCCCCAGATCTTGGATGTCACCTGGGGTTCCACACAGAGAGCACAGAACCCCTGTCACTGTTTGAAGAGCCAGTCTCACCCTTCTTCCCACTAAAGGCACTGCCCACACAGCCCCCAGCTGTAGAGGAGGTGAGTGGTGTTTGAAGCTTGAAGCAGTGACAAGGTCTGAGTGAAAGCTGAGCCAATAGTGACCCCAAGTCCTAGGCAGGGAACAACAGGATGCAGATTCTGTTTGATGTTCATGTAGCTAGCTCTGAGTTCTCCAGCCTGGTCCTTCAAGGAAGCTACTCCTCACAGAAGCTAGCTCTTAATTCGGGTTCCCCGTTTGTGCTGGGCTAATGTGCACCAGTCATGGACAGGGGCCACCCTCAGCCTAGGGATAGTGCCTCCCATGGCAACTCACTCCACACTGACGCCTCCCAAGATGAGCACCAGTGTCTCTCTCAGACCCAGGCCTTCCTCCTGGTGACCCTCCCTTGCGCTGAGAACTGGGGATCAAGATGCCAGACCTTCCCCAAGGGACCCTGCCTTCTGCAGTGTTCCCAGGTCTTGGGCCAGACCTTCTCCAGGGGACCCTCCCGTGCTGGGTCCCCAGCTCAAAATGCCAGAATTTCCCCAGGGGATCCTGCCTTCTGCGGTATCCTCAAGTCTCGGGCCAGACCTTCCTCAGGGGACCCTACCCTGCATTGCATACCCAGCCACTGGGCCAGGCCCTCCCCAGGGTCCTTGCCCTGAGTCGGCGCGTCCCTAGGTCACTGACCAGGCCTTCTGCTGGGGACCCTGCCTTCCGCTGCGTCCCCAGCCACGGGCCAGGCCTTCCCCAGGGGACCTTGCCCTGCGCCGCCGCGTCCCCAACTCACAGGGTCAGGCCTTCCTCAAGGGACCCTGCCCTGAGGGTGTCCTCAGCTCACGGGGCCAGGCTCTCGCTCTCTGGGACCTCTCAGCGCAATGTCTGGGTTCGGGACCCAGTTATGCATCTCGCCCCGCTGAGTGCGCTCGCAGGACCAGCACCGAACCACCAACTGCTGAGTCCAGGAACACTCACCTCCGCCCGGGACGCCGCCACTGGACCAGGCCCTGAGCAGCCGCCGGCGGGGCGGAGGCGGACCCATCTCTGAAGCCGATGATTGGCTGCGGTGTTCCCCGCCCCCCGAAGCCCCGCCCTTCGCGCAGGAAGATGGCGCTGTTTGCGCATGTCCGGCTGTAGCGACACTCGGGCGGAGCTACGTAAACCAACGTGCGCTGGGCGGGGCGACAGACCGGTGCGTAGGATTAAACCAGCACCGCCCCCATATTTTGCGCTTGCGCAGGAGGCAGCGAGGCCGGTACGGGAACCCTGGGGTGGAGCTGTGGGACAAGCACGCACGCTGGCACGCATGCACGTACGCGTGCCAGCTCTCCTAGCGTTCCTCGCTACAGCGACTTGCTCCGTCGTCAGACGAACTGTAGGGAAAGGATAGGCTTTATTACAAAACAATGGGATACATTACTGGGGGCAGCTTCTACTCCACAGGTAGACGGCAGTTTGAGCAATCGAAAAGAGAGAGAGAAAGAGAAAGAGTGAAGCGCCAGGTAGCACAGTTATCAGGGGGATTTATCAGAGTTAAGTAGGAAACCAGAAAACTGGAGACCAGGAACAATAGCACCCCACCCACCTCTGTTTAACTCAAAGGGGATGAGGGTCAGCCTCCAGAGGACTTCTATTTAACATATAAAAGACACGCCTCTACATATGCAGTTATATGCATATTATCGGTTTAACCTCACTATACCTCCCCCAAATACAAGTCTGCTTTGCCTGATTCTTAAGTGTAAATTGACGTTCTATACCCCATCCTGTCCATCACAAAAGGGCAGAGAGGTATCAAAAACCAGAAAGAGGGCTGGGGATTTAGCTCAGCGGCATAAGCACCTGCCTTGCAAGCAGGCAGTCGTGAGTTCGATCCCTGGTACTGCTAAAAACGAAAAAGACAAAAAAAAAAAAAAAAAAAAAAAAAAAAAACCAAAAACCAGAAAGAATGTAGATACAGGTGTTCAGGTTAGTATCAAAGGCAGCCACAGAGAGCCAAGCAGATGGCCAAAACTTCCAGGTGACTACCTGGGGAATGAGAGAAATTAGGCCTAAGTAAAAAGGAACACAGGACAAAAATCCACAAGTATTCACTTCTGACGCCCCCTACCTGAGCGGTTTACATCACAGCAGGACCGTGGCAGCTGAGTCTTCTGCAGAGCAGTGGCGGCGGGGGTGGGGATGGGGGGGTGGGTATGACATATACCCCTCCCTGAAGCCTGACACTGAGTGTGAGATTTAAAGGGCTGCCTCCCTGTGATATAGGAATGATACTGGGCCTGCAAATGATAATAGGGGAAATACAACTCCCAATCTGCTAGATGTCAGATATGCTAAGTTCTTGTTTCCCAAAATTGGATAAATTCTAAGGAAAAACAGGTTGAGTAGGAAATATTTATGGAGAAAGACAGCTCCTGAGACACAGGAGGAGCCCTGTGAGTTGGTTGCCAATGAACCCACTTCTCAAATGAAGTTTTACAGAGCAAAGTCATGTGGTGGATGTACTGTGGGACAAAACTAGGCATACAAGGATAGTCACTTAGGTAATGATCCAGTGGGGAAGTAGGCCACTGAGCAAGTGTATATGAAAGAACAAGAACCTTTTTCAGAATAGATGTATCAGGAAGTTCTGGTCATCTCCTGGGTGACTGGTGTCTAGCTATCCTTTATTGGACAAGGTGATGCGAGTTGTAGTATAGTGCTTATCCCTCGGGGAGGCATGTAGGCCTGGTCATTCCATCTTTGGCTTGGTCTCAAGACAAAGTTTCAGTGTGTTTGCATCTTCTGCACAGACTCTTTTCAGAGCCTAGCCTGGTCTGACTGCCTATAATACTTCCACCTAGTTTAATTGTCTATAATACCCTGAGCTGAGGCAGTGGCCAGACCCCTCCTGGGGGACACAGTGTGTGTAGGCAACCCAGTATGCGGCTCCTGCAGGCCCTTCCTTCCCGCCCTGAATTTCTGGTGATGCAGTCATCATGTTAGACTGTAAGTTGGTCTTTAGCAGGTGAGTGCCTGCCTTTAGCAGGCAGCTGGAGGCTATCTACATTAGGAGCTTGGCCTCACCCCCAGTCTGCTAAAATGAATTAAAATGAAGGCTTAAGTAAAAGAAGCAATGTAATATGGTTGCCCAATCCAAGGAAGTCGCACTCACTCGCGTGCTAAGACAAGCTTTCTGGATCATCCATAGTATTTCTTGGGTTTCCCCAAAATTGAGGGGTACAGGAAGAGGAAGGCACTTTGGAGGCAAAAGCCTGGGGAAATGGGCGGGGTCAGCAAAGAGGGCAGTAAATCTTGCCAATTAAGCAAGCTGTTTGATCTCTAAGGGTGGCAGTTTTGTTGTTCTGGAATGTGGAGTACCCTCAGGAGCCCACAGCTGCAACTTTATCTTGTCTTCTTTTTTTGGTGGGAGGGATACTAGGAATCAAGCTCAGGACCTTGCACTTGCCAAGCAGGCGCTTATGCTGCTGAGCTAAATCCCTGGCTATCTTGTCTTCAGAGATCAAGAATATGAGCGTTTAGGTTTCTGACATGGCCAGAGGTCTCTTGTGCTTAGCAATTTAACCCTTATAATAGTCTGGTCTCTGAGGGTATCTGAAAATAAACATGATGCAATTTTTGTTTGCTTCCTTAACTGTTAGCTATAGCTAAGATGGTCACACACTTGTGGTTTTGTTATGGAAAACATTACACCAATGGGCTTCTGACCAGGATCTTTCTAAAGACCTTTAAAAGGGAAAGTGAGCAGAGATTTCAGAGACAGATTCGGCACATAAGGGAATCTAAACAGTTCAGGTTACATTATAAAGCTATTAGTTATACAAAGGAGGAAAGCATGGGTTATACAAAGGAAGGCATGTCCTGTTACATTTTAAGTTACACAAGAGCAGCAAAGACAGGGATTACACAAAGGCAGAAGTGTTCTCTTCTTTGGCCTGCCAGACATGTCCACTTGGTCTTGATGGGCATTCTGACAGGCTTTTTTTTTTTTTTTTTTTTGTCTTTTTGTTTTTTTATCGGTACCAGGGATTGAACTCATGACTGCCTGCTTGCAAGGCAGGCGCTTATGCCGCTGAGCTAAATCCCCAGCCTCTCCTGGCAGGCTTTTATTTATTTAAAGTTTCTATTTTCCCCCTTCAGTTTCAAACTTAGCTTGAGAGAAGGTGGTGTTCTCTAAGTGTGCAGACAAGGTCCAGGCCTATATCAAGCTCATACTGTTATTGAAGATTAGGAAGACCTCAGGGTCTAAAAAGTAAACAAGATTCCACGTATAGAGTAAACAGGAGCCCCTTGGAGTAGGCACACACAGCACTGTACAACAGTGACACAGCCAGGGATGGCTGTGGGGGTGGTGAAAGACAGATCCTGGGCCCCCACCTACTGCCCACTCAAAGCAGGACTTGGGTTTTCTCCTGGGAGAGTCAGGAATTTAAACACCATGAAGCTTATCTTTTTACCTGGGCCTATATGTGGCTGATAAGGAACTAAAAACAAAACAACCTCTTCTCAGCTCTGCATATTGAAGAATTAATTGTGGAGGGGGTATGTATCTACAAATCGACAAAACAAGCTTGGTTACCTCTGAGTTTACATAATCCCCACTACCACCAGACTGAAGACACCAGAATGGACGATTGCCAGGGACAAGCAACTGTATCTGAGAAGTGTTCGCCACCGTCCTGAACCTGGGATGGCCTGAGAAGAAAACCATCTCCAGCTCAGATTCCAGAACTATGATGTCAAGTCCAAGGTCATGACCAGGACCCCAGCCCACCAGCTGCCCTGAAATGCTGGCTTCTCTCCACCTTTGGGGTGGGCTGGATGACCCCTGTATCCAGTGGGCCCCTCCAGCCATCAGAACTGGAGTCCTCTGTCTTCTAACTTTCTAGGGAAAGCTTTTTAAAAAATGAGTTGGTGTATCAGTTTTAATTCCATTATTACTAGAGTGAAGACCCCAGCTAGTGGTGATACCTCCTGCCAGAACTGTCTCCTCCTCTCGGGACAATGTCTGAGGTGTCTCCTGCCAGTCTCCTTCATGGACTGCTGATCTATGGATTGATAGCTCTGCGCCTCCCCCCAATTGGATGATCTGAGATACAGGCACTGTTGTGGCATCCTGAAAACAGCCAGGCTGGAGACAACCACAAGATGACCAATGTGCATTCTTGGCACACATTGGCCAAATTCTGCACAGACACACAGAGCAAAAAGGAATAAAACACCTCTCAGGCAGTCTCAGTTCCTAACGTTAAGGAAACAAGTTGATGCACCTGGTATGTGCAACCCAGGACAGCCTGTGGTGACTTTGGGGCAAGAGCAGCACTGTCTCAGCCTCTGTGAGGAGTAACTCAAGGACAGTGGTACCTTGGTGCTCCTCCTCAGGGGTTCCAGGAGGCGCGGCCAGTACCGTAACTGGCCAGACACATCACTGCAGCTTAAGCTGCAACTGACACCAAGCTGTAGCTTGCAGCTTGAACACCAGACAAACGATAGGCCCTGGGACAGCATGCTCATGTCCAGATGTCTCATCCAGCCTCAGCCCGCACAAGTTTTGAAGCACTGTGGCCCTAAGCTATGGCTGTAGTCCTGCATTGTAGATGCAGCCTAAGGTCACGCTGGCAGCTCTGTGTGTGACCTTGTCAGTGTGCAGTAGAGTCAGCACACAGCATGACCGGTCCAGCTCTGCACACAGTTCAGAAGTAGCCAAGCCTGGGAAGCCCATCTACAAAGGAAGAGGTGCAGTCACATGGCTCACCTCATCTCAAAGTGGGAGGTGCCTGTGGGCTGTGATCCAGTGCCCCTGAGTTAGAAAACACTACCTGCAGTCCTTCCAGTGAGCCGCACTTGCTCCCCAACATCTGTCCCATCTGGATACATGAAGCTGTTCTGCTGGCCATGAGGACCCACACCCATCCTCTATAGCCCCACTGAGGGCACAAAGCTGAGATTCCATGCCTATCTCTTAGATCCTACGTTTGCAAGCATGTCTCTCTGCTGTCAAACAGAACTTGTCTGCCACTGGCTCTTGCCTTGGCTTGCCAGTCTCACACAGCCTCACGGGACCCCTACACCCTCCAGGCCACAGCTATGTGACTTGAGGTTGCTAGAGACATTGAGCAAACTGGTGGTAGGGCTTGAAGCATGAAACACAAGGGCACTGGGGAAAGGTTGTCTGCCTTTTAGAAAGTGTTGGAAAGCTGTCCTTGATCTTCCTAAATCATCAGGTTCTGGGGCGAATCTTTTTTTTTTTTTTTATAGTAAGTGTAGAGAGGCCACAGTGACTCTATTTTGTCCCACACACATCTGGTCCAACAATGTTATGGGAAAAGTGCAGGCCTTGAAACATCGCCCCCATCCCAAGGTAAAAAACGTGAGGTCCTGTAAGGTCAAGAAGTAAACAAGTTATATAATTTGATCATGCACAATTTGAGTCTCTTTGTTCTTTATTTCAATAAAAACTACTGGCTTAGGCTGGCCAGGAGGCAGACGTTTTGCTGACCCTTAGTGTTATGACCCCTTATTTTTCCTTTGCTTATAGAACCCCAATATCTGGCACCCAAACAGTGACTTGACAGCAGAGATGTTTGCCATGGAGGGTGACTTGCCTTTGCTGTGTTTCTGGGGTGGGACATGAATCCCAATGCATTGACTTCATTTTCTTCTGAAAATCCCTGTGTAAGTCATGGGAAATTCCCTGTCTGAAGTGCAGCAGAAACATAAGGCAGAATTTTTTCTCCTTAAGAAGATGGCCATGTGCTCCCTGAGTCTAATTTAGTATGACTTTTGCGAGAAATTCATGATTATTGTCCATGGAATCCTGAGATAGGAACACTGATTATGGAGGTTTGGGAAAAGATAGGCAAACTGCTACATGCAGAGCCTCGAGCTCCTATCTCTGTCTTGCACACCTGGAATCTCTGCCAGGATGCTATTGCAACATTTGGCAGATGGAACATGTCATGGCTGTCTTCCAGGTCTTCCTGGGTGTGCAGCTTCTGCTGCTTTTACACCCCACTCTTGTGCTTCTGACTTTCCACCACCACCACAACCAAAAGACACAAGCCCCACAAAATCTTTGGGCAACTCCCCACCAGTTCTAACTCCCATGCAAAAGCTAACCCAGGAAGCTAAATGATAGAACTGTGGGGGACTGGTGGGGCTGGAAAGATAAGAAATATAAAATATAAATGACCTTTATTTTGAGAATGTGGGAGAGACACCCTTGATCCCCTAGGGCACAGCATTCCCATTTCCCCTTCAGTGATCTCTCCATGGAACACATGGAGTGCAGGCATATAAGTAGCCTAGCTTTGGGGTGGAAACTAAGGGGGCATCAGGGATGCACAGGTAGCCCATTGGTCTTTGTTTGGCGCCATAGATAAATTCCTAGGGGTGGGGGAGATAAGAGCTCCTTGGTTCCATCTCTAAGGCTTCACTGGCTACAGTGTCCAGCCTGGGCCAAAACCTTTTCACTAAATGACATGGGGAACTCATCCCTTGTCCTGTTTTACGTCAACAAGGACAGGAGCCCTGCTTTGAAAACTTACAAATTCTGTTTTTAAAGAATTAAAAAATGCTGTAAAACAATATGGACTTTAAAAGAACCTCTGTAATTGGAATTATTGAGAGCATTGGTCAAGGTTATGAAATGACCCCTTTTGTTTGGAATGCCTTAGTGTGTACTATTGTCACTCCAAGCCAATATCAGGTATGGCTTCAAGAATATAGCGATGCTGCAGACACACAAGCTATAGATAATTTAGATCGCAACATTCCTGTGGGCATTGCTGAATTATGTGGTAAAAGAGCTTGTTCAGATATCTGCATCAAGTTTGTTTGCCACCCACAAGCTTATCCTCAAATATCTCAAATTGCTTTGAAAGCTTGGAAAAAAATTCCTGAAACAACTGACTTCTCCTTTCTGCTGTCCTTAACTATTTCTCTTCAAGTTGCTCTTGCTGACTATGCAGGTTCCATTTCTTTCAAAATGCCCCCAGAGCCAGGTTGGCAAGAACCAGTGCCCCTGCTGACCTGGGGAGGTGGGGATACTTCTGTGTTATCCCCAACAAGCCCGGTGTGGATTCCTGCTCATTGGGTTCACCCTGCACGGAATGAGTTGGCACCACAGGCTGCATAACCCAAGTCCTCAGTTTTGCCTCTCCCTGAATCAAGCCCAGCCACCTCGGAAATGACCCAGGATAATGACTCCTCAGCCAGTGTGACCTGGGATGATATACAAGACTCGTTCCATACATCTGAAGAGGAACTCACTGCTGAAAGGCTTCTTGCGGCAGTATTTACCAAATTGACAATGAATTCTTTAATGCCTGTTTGTATTCTATGTTTTGCTATGTTTTGTAACCCACCATGGGGACTTTAGCGTTCCACAACTTCCAGGAAAGATTGGAATACAATACTTGGATTCAATTGGTAAAAATAGCTAATGTCTCTCATTTCTGTCTTGCTCAAAAGAAAGAAATAAAATACATTCTCGGGTCCTGTCTGATTCCAGTATGCAAGGACCCTGCCTCTCTAAGTAATTATACCATTTTCTCCATTATTCCAAACAAAATTGTAACATATGCTGACTTTCCAAACTGGGGCACTCCCATCCTTAAAAAACCTGATAATGCTGTTAAAATGTTCCACTCCAGGGGCTTGGGATTTAGCTCAGCGGCATAAGCGCCTGCCTTGCAAGCAGGCAGTCGTGAGTTCAATCCCTGGTACCGATAAAAATGAAAGAGACAAAAAAAAAAAAAAAAATGTTCCACTCCATATGTAGCAACTTGAAATGCCTCATGTGCTTGTATTGAAAATTGTAGTACTCAATGTCTTTGCCTTCCTAACAGTACTTGGAATTGTTCTAGTTATGAGCCAATATTATATGAACATGGACATGTTCCTCTCCCTGCTGGATGGTTTTTCTCATGTGAAGAGTATACCTTCAATTAAATCCCTGCAAACTTGTAACACAAAATGCTGACTTAGTTGCCTTACTATATTGTTGCCTTCTCCTGAATTTACACTGTCTTGCACCCAATGGTCTACAACTAGTCTCACTGATCTATGTGGGGACTTTTCTATTAGTCTGTTAACTAAAACAGAAATTAATGCTTTAGGTATTTCTCTGGTTGGTGTTCCAGGGCCAATCGCAATGCTAATACACTAGCTTGTCTCATGGCAAAACAAGTTAATTATACTTCTACAGCTTTGGCATTATTAAACAAAGAACAAAGTGAGCATTGACAAGCGATTTTAGATAATCACAGTGCAATTGATTATCTGCTATTGCATCATCATGGATGTAATGAAATTGCTCAAATATACTGTTTTAATTTGTCTGATGAAAGTAAATCCATGAATGGGAAACTTCATGATTTACAAGAACTTACCAAACAGATACATGTGTCTCAAGGGTTCAGTATGGGTTATGGGATTTCCTTACAGGATGGCTAACAGATATCAATTGGCTAAAACAAATGTTTCTTTATTGTGTTACTGTCCTTATTTGCTTAATTGGTATGGGATGTCATGTTCAATACATGCCACCCTTATGCAAAATGTTCATACCTAAAATGTTGGCTTCTAATATGGTAAGAAAACCTAAACTGAAAAAAGAATGGGGAGATGTAGAGAGGCCACAATGACTCTATTTTGTCCTGGACACATCCAGGTGGACAATGTTATGGGAAAAATGCAGGTGTTGGAACATCGCCCCCATTCCAAGGTAAAAACATGAAACATTGAAAATTGTACTACTAAATGTCTTTGCCTTCCTAACAGTACTTGGAATTGTTCTAGTTATGAGCCAGTATTGTATGGACATAGACATATTCTTCTCTCTGCTGTATGGTTTTTCTCATGTGAAGAGTATACCTTCAATTATATCCCTGCTAACTTATCTTAAGATAGGTCAAGAAATAAACAAGTTTTATAATCTGAACATGTGCAATTTGAGTTTCTTTGTCCTTTATCTCAATAAAAGCTTTTTGTTTAGGCTGGCCAGTGGCAGCCATTTGCTGACCCTTAGTGTGTGCAACTCTTTATTTTCCCTTCGCTTACAGAATCCCAACAAGTAAGTGTAAAAATTTCTTAGTTTAACCATGTAGATAATTCAGTAGCTTTGAGTGCACTTACAATGTGCAGCCATGGCCCTCAGCCATTTCCAGAACCTTCCCTCATCTCCAAAGAGACCCTATTCCATGCAATAGTATTGCCCCAGCCTCCCCTCTGCTTGGTCCCTAAGAGCCTGGCTTTTGTTTCTGTGTGGAGTGCTGTCCTGGCTGTCATGCTGCTTTTCTCCTCTCTAACACGCATGCTTCTTACCCTGCCATATCAGCCACTGAGGCTGCCTGTACACAGAAAGCAGGGTGCCCTGCATGGCTGAGATCAGTGAGGGAAGGCTCTAGTCTATTGTTAGTAATCAAGTCGCACAGCGAGACTTCCAGAAGTCCCTGGTTTCAGCCCTGCCCTTCGCAGACAGCCCTGTACCCAGCCGCTTCTCCGGTCAATGCAGGAGGGGGAGAACGCCCTCCCTCCTGTGCAGGGGCACAGGCACAGCTGGGATAAAGACTTGCTTTCATCCTCCCGGAAACCTGCTCTTGAATTATTTCCAGGTGTGTGGGCTCCGGAGGTCCTGTAAGTCTACTTGGGGTTCTTATCTTGAAGTGTGGACAGAGCAGTTGTTTTTAAAGAAAAGGCCATCAGCACTCAGAGTTGTTAATGGAGAGGAGCAGGAGACCAGCAGCTGATAAAAACCAGCAGCTGCAGCAATGGCTGGCACATGTGTGATTTTTCTTTTAAGACAAAAGATGTTAATGTAGGAGCTGTTTTTTCCTAAACGAACACCTCAGCATTCAGGTTTAATCGCAGAATGGGCACTATGCGATAAATATGTGGGTTTGGGTTGAGTTTGGGCGCTCATTTCGGAAAGGTTGGCCATCATTGCCCTAGTTCAGCACAAGATAACAGCAGAAGGTTGAGGCCAGCAGTGGCAGTGAGCAGCAGCTGGCTGTGTCACCTGTTGGCATCTAGCATTATCCTGTGTCATCTGGTGGCATCAGCACTGCTGGCAGAGCTGCACTTTACAAACCCACGATTTCCATCTGAACTGAGCAGAAGTGCACTGGGCTAATGGCAACCGAACAGAAGTACCCAGGCCTCAAGGGTGTGTAAGCCTCAAAGGCCGCAGACATCCGCAGGAAGTCCCTGTAAGGAAGCAGCGTGGTGCAGCAGAGTATCTGAGGAACGGCGTGGTCTGCCTGGGCCACGAATTGGGACTGGACCGGGCTCGAGGCCCCAAGCACCTCAGAACTTCTGCTGCGCAAGCAGACGGGCTTCAGCAGGTACCGAGGTCGCCGAGCACAGCCAGGGAACACAGCGCCCAGGAAGAGCCCCTGCCACACGTAGGGACCGAAGAGCAGTCTCAGTGGAAACCGAAAAAACAAACAGCTGGCACGCGAATACACGCAGCGTAAGATAAGCGCAAGTAAGATGTTAAAAGTGACGGCAGGGAAATGCTCACCTCGTTTTAAGTGAAGACAACCTACTATTTTACATAGTTTATGGTTTTAAAATAAGACTACAGAAACAGACGGGAAACTAAATCTAGCAGATTCTCGAGGAACCGCACGACGCAGCCCACCACAACCCTTGGCCCCGCCCTCTTGCTCCTCCGCCCTCACGCTACTGGCTGCCCGCAGGCTAGACACGCCTACTCCGGCTCCGCCCCCTTGTCTTCGGAGACCCAGGGGAGCTGGGGTTCTGGCACCGAGTAGCGCTGGCTCTTTCCCAGCAGACAACCTGAGTCTTCTGATTGGTCCTGGGCGGTCGTGGCGTGATGACGTCGCGTCCTCGGGCGGTGTTCGCGGCCGGGTGCGGGGTTTGGGCTAACTGTCTCTGGTGGGGCTGTCGGTGCTCTGGCGTCCTGGGCATCTGGGCAGCCCCACGCGCGGCAGCGGGAGCAGACTGGGACAGCGGAGCGGAGCGAGCACGGGCAGGCGGCTTCCCAGCACTGCCTCAGGCTCAAGGCTCCTCCGCGACCCGGGAGTAGGCTGTGGCGGAGGGTCAGGTCGAGTTCGCGCGCCTTTATCTGCCTTAGATTTGGTGAAAGTATCGCGGCTTTGAAGATAACCGTCTCTCACAGGCTTGGCTGATGATGTTTACATTTTTAAGATGAGTATGTTTTCGTGAGCCCTCAGGGTTTCCATGAAACGTCCACCTGGAGACGTCTGCTTTCCTCAGTGGCTGTTCTGTAGCCGATTCCTGCGACCCGAATGTCCTTTGTTTCTGGTTCTTGAAATACATTTTTAATTATTCGAATTAGAGATTTTAACTTAAAACAGAAGACATGCATGCCATTAAAAATGCAAAGTTAAGATAGTCAACAACCAGTGCCTTAGCCCCACATTAAAATCCTGGAAGCCAGGCTCTAGCGGCAGCCGTTTCGGTTTTTGGCCAGTGCTTCCAGAAAGTCCACGCATATAGTTACACATTGGGGTGTCACTTTTTTTCAACTCTCAATTGTAAAATGACGTTAGAAACAGTCCACAGCCCCTTGTGCAATTCTTGGAATGTCCGTGGTGCCTGTGATAAGTGTAAATATCCTTCAAAGAATGAGCTTTACATTTCTAACAATCAGAGGATCTGATTGTCCCATATGCATATCACATAAAGTTTTACCCCTTGTTTTTAAGCCTCCCATGGCGACATAATTACCGAAGAGTCACTTACTGGGGACATTTAGGGCACTCAGTTTTCCTATCACAAAGAATGCTGTGACCAATGACCTTGTGTGAACGTTCCCACAGGCTCAGACGGATGCCCCTTGGCACAGAAACAAGGTGCTTTCCCTTTAGCACAAGGGAGAAAGCTGGGGGGAGCAGGACTCCGAGACTGATCCAAACCAAGGGCAAAGGTGTACAGATTTTATGGCACCTGTGGGGTAGGAGGGTCTTGATTCCATCACACATGCAGACAGCTCCAGTTGTGCTGAAGCTCTCTGTCATAGTCCTTCAAGCGAGAGTTTCATTGCTGTAATCTTCACCTGGGTATGATTATTTTTTAACTGCTAATTAAGGTAACTACAGTTTACTTTAGAGCCTCCTCCAAGCACACTGCTATCCTTGCCACCTGGAGTCTGCCCCTTTCATGTGGGAAGTTACTAATTGGGTTTTGGAGCAGGGCAGCTCACTCCCCAGCCTCCATGGGTTTAATTTTAATGGTCTTGTTTTTCTCTGCTCTTATTTCTTGGAATCTCTGTGTAGTCTTTGAAGGCTGAATAGCTTCAGTCCTCCCATCTTGGTGTGGTGCGTTATCCTCACTCTGTAGCCTTGCAGACGTTGGCTTTTTTTTTTAATCCCCATGAGACTGAGCTAGGCTAGCTGTCTCACATATGGCAGGTCCTTCTGAAAGAATTTTGCCCTAGATAGGATATTACAGCAGTGGGAGGCAAGACCAAGGGACATTTACCTTGAGGTCCCTTTCCCCGCCCCTTTGCAACTTACGTGTGGTGCAAAAAGAGTCCCAATCAACTAAGTGCATCAGCAATGCCACCTTTAAGCACCACCCCAGTTGGAAACTATATGTATGCCCCCTACACTATTTGTCCAGCAAGGAAAGCCAGACCCCTAGGGGTCATGGGGTTTCTCTCCATGTTCTTAGACTAAAGGCCATTTTTACTTTATAGTCTCTCTTTTTCGGTGCAGAAAATCCTATCATTTGGTTCCCTGACCAGGAAGGCAGCATGACTCCTGGGGTCCTCCCAGTTTGAGTCTCCCTGCCAATTCACTGACTGGACCACATCTTGGATTAATTCCTCATTTATCAACACGTGGGAGCTGCTCAACTTGTGGACACCAGCCTGCAAACAACACCGGCCTAATTAATTTACCTCAGGTGAGCCAACCTCTATCTGAGGGTTTCTCTGTGACCGTGGGCCAGGCTCACGCCGGATTACCCATTCCGTCCCTGGACTGGGGTAGCAGTTCTCATGTTCCTTGGACAGTCCGAGGCAGAACCATTACTGTGGTCCTCTGGGACCTCACCTGTGCCCTTTTGGTGAAGGCCAAGAGGCATGAGTTGGAGCTGTTCCTTTAGCCACGCTTCCAAAATAGGTGATGTTAGCCATGGTCCCTTTTGGCTCACTTTTAATTTGGTCATGGGAAATATTTTTTCCTCTCCCCCAAAAAAACACACCTCTGGGGTGCCTGATTCGTAACCTTGGTACTCTTGGCCTAAAGAAAACCATAAGAATTAAACAATCTTTTACTGCCAGGAGGCTTGGCCAATCTACAAACTTAACAGCAGCCTAGGGCCTAAAGAGATGTTTGACCCCTGTATTCTCAAAAATTTATTATGGTTTTTGTTACACTGGTGACAAGTTAGCAGAAATTTCATATGTACAGGTTTTCCTTACCCTAAGAATGTGCTCGTCTCTCATTAAACATTATGTACACCTGCTCAAATATTTTTAGCTAGCTCTGTTGCACCACAAACTTTCCCTTCCTGCCCTCAAAACCCCTTGGATGATACTGTACGCCCCATCTCTAACCCCCCCTCCTCCCTATCTCCGAGATCAAACCCCGCAGCCTTCTCAGCCAAAGGTTTCTGTACCTGCTGCACTGTCCTTGCCTCCTCCCTCCCCTAGGGTTTCTAATCTTTCCCCTAGGGTCTTTAATTCTCCCCTAGCATTTCTTTCCGTCTCCATCTTCTCAATCCTCTTGATCCAAGCCATCTGTCCTGTCTGAGAGTTCTTTGTCTCCTTCCCCTGCATTGCCATTTTCTCTACCAGCTCACCATACTCAGTCTTGGGCGTTCCAACCTTCTGGAGGGCCACATGGTTGCTGCAGCTTGCGTGGAGGACAGCTGCCATTTTACAGCCCTCCACCACATGGCAGGGTGATGCCATCTTGGGACGGGTCTCACCGTCAGTGGCCATCCCCTTGTGGCTCGTGTGATCAGCAACGAGCACCCTGCTGTGGGTCACATGATGACTCACTGTGCTGCCGGCAGCAGCTGGATTGCTGTAGAGCACATGGTGACGTGCCAGCAACCTGTGTTTCCTTTACACATGGTGGTGAGCAGCTGCTTTGTAACCAATCATTGGGTAATTGCCCACACACGCCTCCAGACAGTTGGCTGCTCAATGGCCATCTACTCCACAGTCTTCTCTGCCTCAATCTCTGCTCCCACTTGGAGAACAGGCTGGCCCCCACGGACTTGTTAATGTACATGTGCCTTTCTCCCTTTCTGACTTATCTCAGATTAGCCATAAATTAGGTTGCTTTTCTGTTTACCTATAAAATTATATCAGAGAATTTCAGTTTATAACTAATTGGTATGATTTACATTTTAAGGATATTTATGTGATTCTGAACTCCACCCTCAGCTCACAAGAGTGAGCTCAGCTGTGTGCAAGCAGCTTGAGCAGAAGCCGATTACAGATATAAGGCAAATACTGCTGAAAATGACCCTGGGCCTACTGTGGTGCCAGAACAAGATCCTAACTGGAATTACCAAAATGGAGAAGGTTCTCATAAAATACGTAAGATGATTGAATGTCTAATTGTAGGCCTTAATAAAATTGCTCACAAATATATTAACTCTAACAAACTTTAAAACAGGTCCAGGAGGCTAATGAAAATCCAGCTCTGTTCCAAAATCGGCTTAAGAACACCTAAATTAAGTTTACTAATGTAAACCCAGACTCTCATGAAGGGATGATTGTTGTTAACTCTTATTTTATTTCTCAGTCTGCTCCTGATATTCATGCAAAGTTACAAAAGGCTGAACATGGCCCTCAAATCCCACAAGAAGACCTTCTTAATTTAGCTTTCTGTGTCTTCAACAACAGAGAAAAAACTCAAAAAGAGGAAAAAAAGGCACAAAAAAAGAAATTTGCTAAATATTAATCTGGTTTCTTAGCAGTGGCACTTGGGGCTCCCAAGACAGTAAAGCCAAAACAAGGTGGAGCTGCCTGAGCCCCTCCCAGACCATGCTTCAAGTGCAGCAAAGAAGGACATTGGGCAAGAGAAAGCACCAGTCTTGGAATTCATCACTGACTGACTTGTCCCCAATAAGGTATCCTTCTTGGAGCCCCGAGTCTCACTGGGGGTCTCAGATAAGACACTATCTGTACTTGTAGACACGGGGGGTGACTTATAGTGTACTCCCTGAGTTTTCAGGCCTTGTATTAAGTCCTCAATCTCTGTGGTGGGTTTGATGGCTAGCCTCCGCAGCCTTTACAGACAGGGCCTGTTCCATGCAGATTCCAGACTCTCTTCTTTACCCATAGCTTCCTAGTAATTCCAACATGGTCCACACCCCTTTTAGGTAGATATCTCCTTCAAAAGCTTAACTTCTCCTTTACCTTCTCCCTCCCCACAGCTCTAGTCCTCCAAACATCCTCACAGTGCACCACAAAGTCATCTCCTCCCCTTCCTTTTTCTCTGGTCAATCCCATAGTTTGGGATACTTCGAATCCCACCTGTGCTACTCATGCCATGCCTATTTTAATTTGTCTTAGGGGTCCTTCAATTTTTCCTTCCCAAATATCTCATAGCTCCCAAGCATTTACTGGGACTTAAACCTATAATTAAGTGCCTTTTAGACAATGGTTTTCTTAAACCTACCCATTCACCCTATAATACTCCCATTCTCTTGGTACTCAAGCCTGATGGGTCCTATTGCTTAGTGCAGAACCGGTAACCAATAATGCTGTTACCTCAATCCATCCAGTGGTGCCAAACTCTTGTACCATGCTCTCTCATATCCCTTCCTCTACCACTCACTTTACAGTTCTAGATCTTAAAGATGCCTTGTTGGGGCTGGGGGTTTAGCTCAGCGGCATAAACGCCTGCCTTGCAAACAGGCAGTCATGAGTTCGATCCCTGGAAACGGTAAAAAGGAAAAAGACAAAAAAAAAAAAAAAAAAAGATGCCTTGTTTACCATCCCCCTACACCTGGATTGTCAGGATCTCTTTGTGTTTACATGGAGTGATCCAGACAGTCTCAGGTCTCAACAACTTACTTGGACAGTGCTCCCCCCAAGGGTTTAGGGATAGTCCCCACTTCTTTAGCCAAGCTCTTGCTGCTGACCTTGCAGAACTTGATCTCAAATCTAGCACTCCCCTTCAATACATAGATGACCTTCTCTTATATTCTCCATCCCATACGTTATCCATACAGCATTCAGCTAATCTCCTTAATTTTCTTGCCAGTTGTGGATACAGGGTCTCTCCTGTTAAAGCCCAAATAGCTTTCCCAAAAGTTAAATATCTAGGTCTCTTTCTCAACTCCATCACTCGTTCCATCAGATCGTAAGGCTATTCTTTGAGATCTTCAGGTGCCCACAACTAAACAACAGGTTACATCTTTCCTAGGTTTAGCTAATTTCTTTCATTTCTGGATTCCTAACTTTGCAGCTCTAGCACAACCCCTCTACAAGGCTTCTAAGTGTCCCTTATCAGAGCCCCTAGACCCCACTATGCCCATACATGCCTCCTTTCATAAATTAAAAGAGGCTTTCCTAAGAGCTCCAGCCCTGACCCTTCCTGACCCCACCCAACCTTTCACTCTATATACTACTCTCAGGGCCACAAGAAGGGACCTTCTTTTCAAGCAATAGCCTACTTGTCAAAACAGACAACACAGTAAAAGGATGGGCTTCTTGTCTCCGAGCCCTTGTGGCTGCAGCCTTACTGACACAGGAAGCTAAGAGGTTTACATTAGGGCAGTCTATTATAGTATACTCATCTCATCATCTAAATGATCTTATCTCACACGAGGCAATCCTTGCTCTGATGACCCCTTCTTGCCTTCAATAGGTACATCTAGTTCTCTCTCTGGACCCTTGTATCTCTATTGCAACTCATGGTCCTCTTAATGTGGTAACTTTACTTCCCACCTCAGAGAGCCATCCTCACCATGACTGTTTTGAGGTCTTACAGATGACTCCCACCCCTTTCTTTCACATTAGTAGCATACCTCTCTCAGCCTTTGACACATGGTTCATAGATGGCAGTTCAACAAACATAGATAGCCAAAAAAGGCAGGATATGCAATAGTTAACCAGTCAAAAGTTTATAGAGGCAAATCCACTGCTATCTGGGACCTCTTCCCAGAGTGCAGAACTTATTGTCCTTACAAGAGCTCTTACACTAGCAGAAGACAAAGTCATAAGTATATACACTGATTCAAAGTATACATTTAGCATTTTACACTCTCATGCCTCTACCTGGCAAGCATGGGGTTTTATTAGCTCTCCGGGAACCCCCATCATTAATGTGTCTCTTATCCTTAAACTCCTAGAGGCAACACTACTTCCAAAGCAGGGAGCAGTTATTCATTGTAGGGGACACCAAAATTGTGCAGATTCCATTGCTCAAGGCAATGCTTTTGCACATTCACAAGCCAAGTTAGCTGCACAAAGGCCCTATCCTTCTCATCTTCTCCTTTAGTCCCAAACAGTCTACCTCAACCTAATTATAAACCAGAGCAGCTACAGTTACTTTATAAACCAGGTTACACACAAAGCACTCAGGAATGGATTTTCTAGGTATCAAAATTTGTTCTCCCAGATCAGCAGGCCTTAGACATCATCACTGACTTACATAACTGTTACATAACTGTTACATAGATAGGATCACAGGCCTATCCAAACTCTTAGCCCCAGTAGTCACACATCTTCTTTAAAGGCATCATCCTTCAGGTTACTCACCCTGTCATCTCTGTGCTAGGACCATTCCTCAGGGACATATAGCACCCCCTTCCTTTCCTACTCATCAATTTTGAGGACACATCCCTAGTCAGAACTGGCAGATAGATTTTACACATATGCCCCACCACAATACTATCAAATATCTTCTCACCTTTGTTTGTACTTTTTTGGGATGGATAGAAGCCTTTCCCACAACCAGGGAGACCCCTGATGTAGTTACTAAAGTCCTGTTACAAGAAATTATCCCAAGGTTTGGTCTACCTCAGAGTATTGAGTCAGATAATGGTCTAGCCTTTATTTCTCAGATCACTCAATAGGTATCCTCAAGCTTACACATCACCTTGTACCTACACAGTCCATACCATCCACAATCCTCAGGAAAAGTAAAAAAGGCAAATGGCCTCATTAAAATACACCTTACAAAGCTCATTTTAGAACTATACCAACCTTGGCCTCAACTTCTGCCCATAGCTTAGCCAAACTCAGGGCACTTCCCCGGGCTCCTACATTTTTAAACTTATGAACTTATGAACTTATGTATGGCAGGCTATTCTTACTTCACAGTCTTCCTACTCCCCAAAGTCTCCCTTCTCTTGCTGACTATATCCCAGTCCTCTCTTTCCTCCAACACCTGTTACAACACCATGCTGATCTCTGTCTTCCCAACCCTCTGAAGGGACCAAAGCAGATCTTCCCATATCCCCAGAGATCTAATTTATCTCAGATGTTCTAAATTGGACCTGGGGATTTAGCTCAGTGGCATAAGCACCTGCCTTGCAATCCCTGGTACCAAAAAGAAAAAAAAAAGTTCTAAATCCACAGGATTACAACCAAGGTGGAACAGCCCCTACTTGGGTCTTCTTGGCAATCCCTACAGCGGTCAAATTTGCTGGACTCCCATCCTGCTTTCACATCACTCTGTGTCCTCCTACCCCTAAATCTAACCATCCTGAGTGCTCATCTCATCTTCTGCCACCTACTTGTTTCTGTCTCACTGAGGCCTCACAGCCACAACTCTCAGGCTAAGTCATGCTTTGTTATCCAATTTAGTTTCTAATTTCTTACATTCTATTAATTATCCTTTTTACAGCAGGACTCTTAACAGTCTTTCCTAAAGACTCCCACACCATGCGAAAGATTGTCTTCATGTTGTTCTATGTGACAACTGTCTTTACTTCTCTCTATCCTCAGCTGTTTAGTCAAACGTGAGATCCCTGAAGGCCTAGGCTCCTATCGTCCTAATAGTGATACAGCCATGGCCATCCCCACCCCTCTTATTCTTTCTAGCTCATTTCCTGGATCAGAGACAAGCCCTACCTACCTACCCTCTTAACTTCTACCCTTTCAGATGGGGGAATAATCACCTCTCATAACTTCACTCCTCCTAACCCCATACTTATTTTTTCAGCATTCTACCTCACTGTGGTAATGATTCTACCTCACCGTGGTCCTGATAAAATGACATATCTAAATCAAAGGCACCTTTCCTTCTATCTTATCTGGGTCCTTAAATATGATAGTGGCGGGCTGGGGATTTAGCTCAGCGGCATAAGTGCCTGCCTTGCAAGCAGGCAGTCGTGAGTTCAATCCCCGGTACCGATAAAAAGGAAAAAGACAAAAAAAGAAAAAAAAAATATGATAGTGGCCTGCCTCTTCATAGCATCTTGTCTCTTTGTTTTTCCAGTCTAACATGTGGGCATTCACCAATGATAAAGCTGTCCTGGCTGAAACACCTGGCACCAGCCTCTGCATGGGCATCAACTGTCATCCCATCAACCTTCCTAATCCCCAATACGATACCCCCTTTCAGCAGGAAGTAGTAAGAGAGAGAGAGACTTCGCCCTTTTCCTAACAATAAAAAGATGGGAATGAAAGGATTCTGCCCTAGATAGGATATTATAGCAGTGGGAGGCAGGACCAAGGCATGTTTAGCTTGAGGTCACTTTCCCCTCACCTATCCAACTTACCTGTGACATGAAAAGAGTCCCAATCAGCTATTCACGCATCAGCAATGCCACCTTAAGCACCATCTCAGTCAGAAACTATATGTATGCCCCCTGCACCACATGTCCAGTAAAGAAAGCCAGACTCCCAGTGGTCATGGGGTTTCTCTCCGCGTTCTTAGAATAAAGGCCACTTTATTTATTTATTTTTTGTCTTTTTCTTTTTTATCGGTACCAGGGATCGAACTCATGACCACACACTTGAAAGGCAGGCGCTTATGCCGTTGAGCTAAATCCCTAGCCCCAAGGCCATTTTATTTTATATTCTCTCTTTTTACCACGCTGAAAATCGTATTACCTTCTTCTTCTGGCTCAAGACCCCATTTGTGTACCCAAAACCACAAATGCTCAAGTCTTTTTAATGCAGTAGAATTGCATATAACCTATGTACACTGTATATCACCCCAAGATTACTTCTCATACTCAGTAAATGTAAATCTCTTTGAAAACAGTTATGTTGTATTGTTTAAGATTAGTAAATAATGAAAAACATGTATGTTTAGTACAGATGCAATTTAAAAATATTTTCTATTTGTAGTTGAACATACAGATACAGAATTTATGACTATGGAGAGCCAACTGTACACAGAAACACACCCACCAGGGCTGAGTGTGTGACTGTTAAATATCACATGCCCTCAGAAGGACCTACAAAGTGTTTCCCAGCTGAGCTCCTTCCTTGCAACTTGGTGACATGCTCAACTCAGAGCTGTTCAGGTCCCTGCCTCTTCAATAATGAAAAATGGTCAGTGCTCTGAGATCGACAGCTTTGTTCATAGGTTGCAGAGGCCCAGCTGACTAGCCCGTGCAAAGAACCTTGTGTTTTAGTCCATGGTTTTGGGTTGCACTGAAGCCACAGGGATGCAGCTCCCTTTCCCTTGGCTGTTTAGTCTTGTGTGCTAGGCCCAGATTCTGGAGTCAGCCTATGTCTCTTGGACAGGATAGCCATGCTGACTGACTTCGCGATGTGCAGCAGACATCTCCCGTGCATGCCGCCCTCCACCAACCTTAGCCCCAGCCCCACCCCCAGCCCATCACTGCCCCTCACTGGAGACTGAGGACTGAGGTGAGGCTGCTAGCTCAGGGGCCTGGAGGGGCCCTGCACTGGCACAGCGGAGAACAGGGCCCCTTAACCCTGTATCCCAAAGGACAAAGTCAGCTGGGATTTCATTTGCTATTCACAGAAGACCGGGCCTTCACTGTGCAGAGTGGAAGGGGAGCAGGGCTTGGGTTTAAGGTGGGCTGAGGCAACATCTAACCAGGTCCCTGAGACACCAAGGCTACCTATTCCAAACATGAAACTCAGGGCTAGGAGCTGCAGGGCGGCTCCTACCAGCCTCTTGCTTCTGCTCAGCAGGCTTGCTGTCAGATTGTGACAGTTTCCTTATTAAACCTACACAGGGACAGGGCAGCCTACAGACTGAGATAAAACACAAAGACAAAAAAGAAAACGATTAGCAATAAGGACCTTTCCACTAGGTGAAAAGGTTTGAAGGAGTATGCTAAATTGGTGACAGCTCCTCCCTACCTTTGGAGTGAACTCTGAAAGAGGTTAGGAATACAAAACAGCTGATTTGTCTGAGCTTGGTTTCTTTGAAATGAGCCTTTCCGGCACTCTGCTCATTCAAGCAGGACAAAGAACGAAATTTGAGGCCTTGACATATAGCTCAGTGGCACAGTGCCTGCCTGACAAGGGTGAGGTTGTGAGCTAGATTCCCAGGTATCAAAAGGAAAAAAAAAAAACCAAGATTTAGACTTTCCTTCGTAATTCCCTCCAGGACATTAGGACTCTGGAGCTCTCCAGTACACTCTCCCAACCTCCTCCCTTTGGTTCAGGATTTTTTTCTTGGACTGTGAGCTCAGTTTGCACAGAATTAACTGACTTGGGTGCTGATGGGAACTTGCTGGGGTGGCCACTGTCCAGTTAGGTTGTGGCTGGGGGCTGCAATCCAGGAAGCACCACCTTCCATGTGAGCCGTGTGTGCCACCAGTGACCATGCCTCTGCTCCTCACCCCAGGTCTTCATGCCCTTTGCTCCTATGTTAGCTCCATCTACACAAGCGGGCCTGGATCTCATCTGCTGACCCACCTATGACTTTACTGGACCCACACAGTGTATTACAAGAAGATAAGTTAGTAATTTAACCTTCCAATTTAAGGAAATTTTAAAAGACAGCCAAAACAAGTGGGAAGAAGGAAGCCACAAAAAATACAAAGTAAATTGAAAACAAAAACAGTAGAGAAAAAAATCAGTCAAATAAGCTAGTTCTTGAAAAGTGCAGCTGGGCATAGTGGCACCCACCTATAATCCCAGCACTTGGGAGGCTGAGTTAGGAGGATTGTCACAAATTTAAGGCCAGCGTGGGTTTAGCAGTGAGTTCAAGGCCAGCTTGAAGTACTTTAGAGATCTTGTCTCAAAAAAGAAATGTTAATACTGGTAAATCTCTAAGAAGAAAGACAAATATCAGTATCAGGAAGGGGCACGATCATTATGAAGCTAAGGTGACATCATGACATCACAGACAACCCCTCCAACCTCCTAATGGTGCTGTGCCTGTGGTGCCAGGGGCCTGCAGGGTGCAAATGAAAGGGTTTTCCCTAAGCAGCGTGGGTTTTCCATTCTGGGGGAAGGCCCAGCAGCATCATGAGCACAGTGGTGCACACCTGTAGTCCCAGCTGCTCAGGAGGCTGAGGCAGGAGGATCACTTGAGCTCAGGAATTGGAAGCCAATCTGTGCAAGAGACCCTGTCAAAGAAAACCAAACCAAACCTTAATACCAACAGCAGACTTAACATGTAGCAGGGTGGTACTGGCAGGTGTCTAGCTGTCCTTCCTCAGTGTCTGTCACCTCTGTCCCGCTTTCTGCTCCACCAGCTTGGTCTCCCCAGACCCGAGCCACAGCCCTTGCTGTGCCACGCAGAGGAACCAGAAGTGGGAGTGAGCAAGGTGGCAGGCTCTGGGCACGCAGTGTACCTTGCCTTCTGTCTCACACTGCAGGGCTGGAGTAGGACTGTGGACAGGAGGGGTGTGTATGGCCACTCTGCAGCCAGCAAGGTGTTTAAACTTATTTAGGATAATAAGGCAAATCCAGGGAAGGACTTAAGGCATTTTCTTCATAAGGCAGATCCGGGGAAGGATTTAATGCGTTTTCTTCCGTTTGTAACTCTTAACTGTTAATTTCGCATGGCAGGTGTGTGACCAGGCTACCCAAAAATCCGGGGCTCCAGTCTGGGGTGTTACACAGGATTCTAGCTTGAAGGAGCCTGTGATACCCACTGCAGGTCACCTGTGTGCAAGTGCTGGTATGTGTGTGTGCGCATGAGTGTCCCCAGGACCACATACCCCTGCAGGTACCTCCATCTGCTCAAGGCTTGGCAGAACACATAGGGCACAAGCAAAGAAGAAGCAACTTGTATTAACTTTTTATTTTCTGAATTTCCAGAATCAGATCTCTACTGAACAAATAGAAAAATAGAAAAGCCTTCTACTTTTAAAAGGCAGCTATGACAACAAGTGCATATTTAGGAGGAGGCTCCTGGGATGCAAACAAATGCAGGGAGAGTTTGGCCTCGGAGCAGTGTGCTCTGTGGCAGGAATAGAAACTTAGCATGTGGCCTCATCCCAGGCCTGGAACTGCAGTTCAAGCCTCTCCCCAACTAGTTGGCCCAGTCCTGGAAACGGAAACAGTCACTTGCGATCCTCCATACCGTGTTGGTAGGGGAGGCCTGGGCGGTGAGGATGAAATTCTGGTTGAAGTCCCGCTGTTTGTTGCCCTCAAACTTCACAGACCCACAGATAACAACCAGGACTGTGGTCTGACTAGGTGTGGCCTCATCGTGGACAGGTTGGCAGTCAACCACATTGATCTGGAACTCGCTGGAGGGCAACATTTCAAAGAACTCACTCAGGGACTCCTGTCCTGAAACGGCGTTTCCATTCCATACCAAGGTGGCTGTGCCCATGTAGAGGCGGGACAGCAGGCGCCGCCGCTTATCCATGGTGGTGTAGTAGACGTTGACAAACTCCTCGGCTGCTCTGCAGGCCTGGTCCACATAGGTCTTGAAATCCACAGATGCCATCTGGGGCTGAGCAGAAGGAGGCCTCTGCTGGGAAGTTGTCTCTGACCTGGGGGATTGGGGATGGGGCCAGATGGAGAGAACTCAAGTGAGCGCCAGCATTTCTCCTGCCAGAGGGACAGCAATTCCCACTGTGGCAAATGGCTGGCACTGCAGGGAGGTGACACCTGTGTGTTTGCCAAGTCTTCAGAATCCCATTTCATTATACAGAGCACACCTGAGCGCCAAAGGCCACTCCTTCCTGGCCTCTTGGGGCTCCCAGAGAGGGTAAAGGAAGCAGACAGGGCTGTAGGGAGACTTGGCCACTGGCTCAGCAAAAGCCAAGTGGAGACAGCGCACACTTCTTCGCCAGGACTATGGGCAAAATGACCAAGCTTACCCACACAACCCTGGAGTGGGCAGAGACTAAGAAAAGGACTGGGCAAACAGGGCTGCCCCCGTGACAGAAGCAACTGTGTGGCCCATTCAGCAGAAACACTGTTTCTTTTCTTTTTTTTTTTTTTTTTTTTTTTGTGGTACTGCGGATCGATAGCCTTGTGCTTGCCAGGCACACTCTTATGACACCCTATTTCTTTACAAGAAAAATCCTCAAAGAGCCAAGAAACAGTGACATCTGGGTTTTCTGTAATGGGCGAAACTGTTCTTTTTTTCCGATTAAAATATTCCCGGGGGGACCTTGTAAAACAAAGGGCAAAGTGGACTCGTTTACAGTTAGAAACCGAAATTGTGAATAACGCTTTCACTTCAAAGCCCACCCCCACCCTTTTAAAAAAATCAGTTTATGAAACAGGTAAAAGACATCTTTCACTTCAGAGTGTGGTCTTAGTATTACAATGTCCCAGCTTGCTATCTGAGGACTAGAGAAGGCCGATACTTTTTTTCTGTTTTTGTGAGGGGGTCTTGCTATGTAGCTCAGGCTGGCTTTAAACTCACCATGTAACCCAGGATGGAAGGCTGGACCTTCCATTTTTTTGTTGTTGTTTGTTTTGCGAGGGGAACTCACCATGTAGTCCAGGCTGTCCTTGAACTCCTGCAGTCCTCCTGCTTCAGCCTCCCATGTGCTGGGATTACAGACACTCGCCTGGCATAAAAATGTGGAACTTAAAGCAAAAAACTGGAAGGGCGCAGGCCCTAGAAACAAGCAGTCAAGAGCCAACCTGAGACCCGGCTCTGCTCTGCAACTCTGAACTATTACCCGCTAGGTCTCCGCACAGCTGGCGCCAGAAGGGGCCCAGGGCTGTGATGCAGCCGGCGAGAGAAACACGCACGCGCATGCCCAGTGTTGCCAAAAAGGGAAGGCCGGGAAAATCCTGCCTGCACTACACAGTCCTTTCATTTGCTTCAGCGCCCTTTAGCTCCGCGGCGCCCGTGCCGCCACTCTCTCCCCGGGCAGACCGGGGGCCGGATACCGGGCACGGGCCAACCGCTCCCGTTCCCCGCCAGGCAAGCTCCCCTCCCTGTCCCGCCCCCTCCCCGCTCTCTCAGGCCGGGGACGCAGCCCAGGTTCCCTAAGAAGCAGTCGTGACTGGAACAAAGCAAGGGCCGGGCGCGGCGTCCTTCTGCCCTCCGCTTCGCGGTCGCCACACTGAGCGCCGTCCTCCTTGGGTCGGGAATCACCTCGGTCCGGCGTGCGCGTGGGCGGCCGGACCCGGCAGCCCTTACCTGCGCTGCGCCCGCCTGACTCCGCGAGGTCCTCCCGAAGCTCGTCCTTCAGGCGCCGCGATCCTCTTTCGCTCGCCGCAACGGGATGCGAACGGGCCGCCGCCTCTCCACTATCTCCCCAAAGGATTCGCCCGGGCCGTCGGTTGGGGCCGGAGAACGTCTGTGCACTATCCGCCGGTTCCCGCGTGCGACCCGCCCCACTTAGTCTCTCCCCTTCGTGATGGACAGCTAGTTTAGCCAATGGGACAGCGCGCCGGAGGCCAGGGGCTTCTATAGAGGCGCCTTCCTAAAAGACGGAGGCAAATCCAGAGTAGAGTTTTTATTGGCCAGGTCGATTAGGTCGGATTCTTGATTGGGTGTATGCGCCTCAGGCCCCACCTCCGGAAGTGGAAGTGGCTCTACTCCGGATCAGGGCCCACCCCCCGGAAGTGGGAGTGGTTCTACTCCAGATCAGGGGTTTGGGCCGCGCTCTCCTGTGGGGCTTCCTTTGTGCCCTCTGCTCTCCTGGGTCTCGGAATCTGCTCCGGGCCTTGTCCCCTCCGCTCTCTCTCTCGGCGCAAGCCACGTGGAATTGACCTCCGATGGCGCCTGGCGGAGGACCATGCAGTTCCGGAGGAGACAGACTGGGGCTGCCGTCCCAAGGCCACCAGCGCCGCCCGGCGGTCGCGGTCCCTGTGATGTCAGCCGTGCCCGGGAGCACCTGGAAGTGGAGCTGCATTTTATTAGAGTCACCAGCAGCTTCACCGAGCAGAGCCATTCAGTGCCGGGTCTTGGCAAATGCGAAGTGCAATTAAAACAAAAATCTGTTAGAAAGGAAGCCCAGGTCGGAGCGGAGCAGCTGGATCTCCCCCATCCGGGCGTCCTGGGGCTCCTGTCGCCGCCCATTGGCAGGATGCTTTGGGAACCAGGGAAAGGGGTTGCTCAGCCCACTCGCCTCTGGCAGGGGGATGACAGCCTATGTTATTAAACCACCGAGCTCGAGGCTGGAAGGGCGTCCTGCCGGCTGTAGTCACCAGAATGGTTTACTGTAAAATCGCCCTGGACAGTGCTGGAAGTGAACTGTACAGTGAACTGTACAGCTTCCGTAGGCTGCCCCAGGAGAGGACACTTAGAACGGGGCCGAGCCGCAGGTGCAGAGATGCTGCCTTTCGCTTGTTTGCCCCATCTTCTCTGCATTCCTGAGAACTCGGGACGGATCGCTATTCTGATTTTATGGATGAAAACGTGGAGAGACAAATTAAAAAACTAGCCTTGTGTCACAGAAGCCTTTCAATCCCAGAAGTACAGGTTGGGAGAATTTTATCCAGCACCCAGAGCTTTGAGAACCCAGGCCTCTACTCTGGGAGGTTGGAGCCTTTTGAGGACTCTGTCTCCAGCGTCCCAGATGTGCCACCCCCATAGACTGGGTAGACGCTGCTTGAACATAGAGGCCTAGATCTAATCACTGCTCTTTCTGGTCAAGCAGAGAGGAGCCCTCCCTACAGCCACCCTCTTTCTTGTGTAAAACCCTGGTTTCTATTGCCTCTTGATTTTGGGAACTGTTCGGTGAATTTCCTGTTGAGACTTAAAAGAAACACACATCTGCCTCTGCACTGGGCCCTCGATTTTTCAGAGAACACGGAGGAGTCCAACTTGGCAAGTTGCTGAGTTCATTCTTGTTTACTGAGCTGTGGGTGATGTAGGCTGAAGTGCCACCTAAGTTGTCACCACCCCCCACCCCCGGGCTAGGCCACTGCTTTCTTAGGGTGCTAATTAAAACAGCAAAAGGAAGCAAGAAGGATCCTTGAGAGAAGTATGCTTACCTCTGAACTGAGCCGATCCTCACAGGGCCCTGCATCCCTCTCTACTAGTCCAGTTTAGCCCTGTGTGGTGGACAGCCTCACATACAGCTTCAGCAGTCATCAGGGCCTGCTGCAGGGTGTGATCACCTCAGTGAGGGTTTGGAGGAAAGTTCTCACTTCAGAGGTCAAGGCACCCCAGCTCTAAGCAACATGCCACTGGAAAGTTGACATGTGAGCCCAGCTGGGGGTGGTGTGAAACCCAGTTAGGACCACTGAGCCCAGAGCAGGTGTTTGCTAGGACATTCCAGGAAAGGAGCCTTTCTTCTCTGCCCTGGACCTGGGGTGTGTGGATGGTTTTGTGGCAGCTCTAGCCATCCTGAGGGCCCTCCACAGTAAGGAGGCAGACCAAGAAGGTGAGAAGAGGGCCAGCCCTGGTAACTCTTGGAAACCAAGTCAGCCCTTATCCCAGAGTCTGCAGTCTCAAGAGCCAGTGTTGCAAGCTTAGTTCCTTACAGCATGGCTAGTGTGGCCGGAGCATTAGCAGGGTGGCTGGCTTCCACCTCCTCTATAACAGGGCAATCATAGTATCTTTCTTACGGCTGACACAAGGATGGAGGTGCAGCTGGAGGGAAGTACTGCGCCCAGGAGCCCCTGGAGAAGTTGGAGAGGCAGAGTGGTGCTTGACATTTTGTATCCATAGCAGCATCTTCATTTGCCAGCAGTCCCTCCAACAACTGGCTTTTAAACTTGGGATGAATAAATGGACAAATTGGTAGGATTTGTCACCAAATCACAGGGTGCTTTCTGAAGATGAGCCTGGCTTAAGCAGCTGTGGCCCAGTGGTGCGGTTTGCAGCAAGGCCATGGGAGGAAGGCGCATCTGCCACTTCGATTGTGTCCTTGGCAGCTCTGAAGACGCATGGTTTATGGATCTTTAAGTATGTAAACACAGCGCTGAGCCTCTCCCCCATCAGTGTGGTTCTCCAGGGCAGGATTGAAATGAGTTTGCTTGCAGCTGTGTGACTTGGAGCCTGTGGATTGGCCGAGCCATTATGCCTCTGGTACCTAGCCCACTTTTTGCTCTGTCTCTGCCTTAGTAGAATCATGGGGGCGACTGTGACCAAGTTGAGCCCAGGCCACAATCTTCTGAGCTCAGTTGGGGCTTGACCTTGGGAAGACTTCCAGGGACCGCAAAAGAAGCACCCAGGGACTTAACTGTGTTGTGAAATTGGAGCTCTGCCTCGTTTCCTGGGTAATGGGCTCTGCATGGTCTGTGTTGATGTCAGCATTGTTTACAGTGTTTGTCCAGCCTTGGACCATGCTTTTGTCAGAGGGTTAGGGATTGCTGCTGATAGGTCTCAGATAGTCTCTGCGAGCTCAGCTGCCAGCCTTGCAGACTTGTGGGAGCATCAGACACAGGTGCAGAGCCTTTGTGGGGGTAGGAACACAATGTGGGTGTTCATCAATATTTGCAAGTAACAGAAAACAACTCTCACTGATTTAAGCTGGGAGCTATTTATGGGATGACGACTGCAGGTCTCTCAGGGCCTGCAACAGTCATGGGCAAGGTGCACTGGGCATGGGAGTAGAACCTGGCAGCAGGTGCTTCAGGGGCAGGAGTAGGTGGGCTGCTGGAGCTATGGCCAGAGCCCAGCATATATGCACTCACACATGCTCTTGGATGCACCATTCACACATGCACATGTGCATGCCCGCACAAGGACATACAGGGAACATCCATGCCATCAAACACACGCACACACATGAAGATATGCAACCAGTCACACTCAAGCATACACTCCCACGTACGCCCACACAGTGGGCTCATGTCTGTGCATACACATCTATATGTGTGTATACCTATGTACTGTCACTCAGCACATGCACACAACACTCTCACATGCCTCTATATGAGGGCACATGCATACACATTCACACACGGAGACACATGTACATACATGTACGTTCACATAAACCACTTGGTGCACATACACACCCTACCAGGGAACATACACTGTCACACCTGCACACACAGCAACTGGTACCTGCATCCACATGCATACACGCACACCCACATGCTCACACAAACACCCCCACAGTACAAAGGTGCATGCTCACATGTACACATGTGCACACATGGATGTGGCTGCATCGATTCCCAGTGGTTTCTCTTACTCTGCCAGATCATGTTTACCGAACCTAATGACAGAAACCTCCAGTCTGATGTGCTCCTCTGGAACCTGGCCTTGTTGGGTCCTCTGTGGATCAGGCAGCCTGCATGAGAGGTGAGTGTAGAGGAAATGACACTGTGTAGTGGCTACAGCTGGACCTGAGGGGAGACAGCCTCCGCCATGCTGTCAGGAGGCCTGTGCCAAGCTGTAAGTGTCAGTGCCTGGTGCCCAGCTGTGTGAATGAGCTGCCTGGAAGTGGCTTGGCTGGGTGACCTCTGCTGTCATGGCCTGAAATCAGCCTGCTGAGCCAGTGTAGCCTTGAGAGCTTTCACAGGTGCTTGCTCCATTTTGCGAGCCACTGCCCCTGCTGTGGCTGCCTAGGCTACAGGAGAAGCCCCATGCCTGCGGTGGCCCTGTCCTACATATGTCCCTGTGAATGGGTTTTACAACTTTCTAGTAAAGGGTCCCCAGGTATAGGAAGCCCTTCTGGACCTCACTGTGGTTCAAAGGAGTCCACGTTTGTAATCATAGAGAAAATTATAGGAATTCCAATAAGTAATTCCAATCTACCACTTCCAGTGAAACCCACAGTGAGAATAAAGAAAGGAACATATATTTGCAGCTGTGGGAAGCCCAGGGGATCCTAACTGCAATTGAGACAATGGCTACCCAGGATCAAGGTCTGGACTCAGGTTTTATTCGTGAAGAGGGGAGTGGCTCAGAATGAGTGACTGTGAGAATGGTGGGAGGTACTGAGTACTGTGAGCTAGGCTAGGTAGGATGGGAGAGAGTCCCTCAGCAATATGCAGAGAGAGTAATCTGTGTGACACAGCTTGAGGAACTCTCTGCTGTGTTGTGTCTGTGCTTCAACTCTGCTGTGGTCTCCCTGTCCCCCAAATGCCAGCGTGTCGGCCTGGCTCATAGATGCTGGCTGGAAGCATCAGGTGGTCATCACCAGCCTGGGTGCTGCTTTAAAGGCTGCATGTCAGCACCTCAGCTAGGCCCATTTGCTTTGCTTAGCACCAATCGAGGGGATAAAGAAATGTCCGAGCCAGCTCTGTGCACACAAATACATGGAAATAAGTCAGGTTCAACCAAAATGGAGGGAGATGTTCTTTCAAGGAGAACCATGCTGCTGGTCTTGTGCACCAGGCACTTCCTGGGGGCTGCCATAGAGTGGCTCTCACCACTGTCCTGCTGCTGCCCCATTCCTGCCGTGGGTTATCAGCTTAGGAGGAGGAAAGGTTTATTCTGGCTCTGGCTTTAGCCTGCAGCTGCTCAACACTGCTGCCTTTGGGCCTGGGTTGGGGAGACCCACGGTGGCCAGGAAGCAGAAGGAGTGAGAAGGAGCAAGGCCTCAGTGTCCCCTCAAGGACTCTGCTCCCAAAGGGTTCATACCTCCCAGCATGCCATGGGCCAGGACCAAACTTTCTGAGCGTGGGCTTGGGGGACAACATAGAGCCAGGCTGCAGCTCTGCAGGAGCACAGGTTCAGGCATGGAGGGCATGAGCTGAGCCAGGGCGTTAAGTGCCCAGGCCCAGAAGGACCCATTTCTTGGGAAAGGAAGTGTAGCCAGGAGCCTGATCCCTCCACGCCACCAGTCCAGTGCTCATAGCCCTCTTCTTGCCCTTTTCATGTACATTTTTGTTTCTGCTGTCAAATGTCACACTATCATCTTGTGGCCAGCAGCCTCCTTTGTCTGATGGGCCCCCACCTGCCTGTCCTGATGACCTCACTCTCAGGGACTGTGTCACCTCCCTGCTCCTGAGCAGATTCCCAGGTTCACTCAGTGAATATCTTAGTTTGGATTTGGCTGGGGCAGACCTGGCAACCTGGAGCAAGGTGTGGCTGTGTAGGTGAGCAGGGAATGGAGATGGGAGGCTCAGGTCCTCAGGCAGTTATTGCTGCAGGCCCTGGAAGCCCAGTCAGGTCATGGAACTCAGCAGAGAGCAGCCTGGGATACAGGCTGCAGGGGCAAGAGGGGAGCTGGGTACCTGCACCCCACTCTCGAAGGCAGAGGGGTGCTGGGGAGGGCGTCATTGGTGGGATCCCCATCCAGGGAGTGGACAGGCTTTCCCGTAGCATTTGGGATGGCACTGATGGGGTCGGTGCAGGAGGAATCCCCAGTGGCTGGCTAGTGGCCATGGGATGGCCCTCATGTCCTGCAGAGGCAGCTTCAAGGTCACACCATATCCTTGGAGGCAGCTCTGGCATCAGACATCCAGCCACCCCAATAGACACAGGTCTGGATGGCGAGGGGCTGTGTTGGTGCTGAGACAATGCAGGGAGGATGAGATGCTGGGGGTCCCAGGACTCAGTGAGTGGTGCTGGGCCAAGCTCCAGGTAGGGCACCTGTGAGGGAGCTGCACAGGGAATGGAAGCCCAGCGAGCTGTCACGAGCCTGTGCTGGCCAGCACCAAATGGAGGCACTGACAAGTGTTGGCTTGGAGGCAGGGAAGGCAGGCGGTGCAGCCTGGTGGGAAATGGCCCACCACCCTGCTGTGAGAGTCACCAGTGGCCCCACTGTGTGCTCAGTGAGGGCAGAGTTGGAGCCCAGAGTCAGAGCGTTTGGATGTCCTGGAGGCCAGCAGGTGAGTGTGTCTCTCCCAGCTATGGTATTCAGTCAAGCTGTAAAGAATGAAGGCCCCCATGAATGAAGAGGTCCTGACCCATGCTGCAGAGCGGATGACCCTTGGCAGCCAGGGAATGAATCCAGGTAGATAAAAAAAGGCCACCCAGTGCAGGAGCACATGCATACGTGGCCTGTGCCCTGCAGGTGAGGGTGGGGCAGAGCAGGAGAGTGGCAGGATGGAGGCCTTTGGAGCTAGATGGGGTGGGATGGTGCTGCAAGACACTGCATGCCACTGTGCTGGTCACTTTCTGGTTGCTGGGACACAGTGCCTTGACACCCTCAAGGAAGGAGTGGTTTCAATCCAGGGTCAGTTGCTGCAGGGCAGGGTGGCAGGGCATCGGGCTAGCAGAGAGCAGCTCACTGCTTGGGGGCCAGGAAGGGACAGGGAGAGACAGGTGCCTCCACGTCCCACCACAGTGTTGGCCTCTTCCATCAGACCCCAGCTCCAGCAGAGGTCAGCAGCAGCTCCCAACCAATCTTCCAAAAGCCCCATCTTCCTGTGCATGAGGCTTTGGGGAACATCTGGATATAAACTGTCCCAGCCACTGAATTCACTAAAATAGTTCATTCTGTGTGAGGTGAGCCTCATCTGAATAAATTGCAAGACAGAGGAAAGAGAAGTCAGCCTAGAGGCTCTGCATGTGGACACTGCTCCAGGCCCTTGCACATCCTGGCAGCCTTGGAGGCCAGCTCCCAGGCATCTGTCTTTGTGCTGTATGTGTGTGTGTCCCTCCTGACTCCAAGCAGGAGTCAAGGCAGGCAGGCCCTCCTTCCCATGGACCTCTGGGTCTCCACCCCTGCAGCTCCCTGCTGGCCTGGAGCCTGGCTTGGTTGTCTTTCTGCAGTCACTGAACCATCTGGGTGTGCAACAGTGAACATGGGACCTTGTGCCAGGTGAGCTACAGGGCTGTGTGTGTCAGTTCCCCATGCTGCATGGGAAGATGAGCAAGGCCTGAGCAGAGATGCGGCTCCCGGCTGGGTAGTCCTAAGCCTGCACTGTGTTCTGGGCTTTTCGTGGACTCCTCTAACAGATTGCATGGCACTGTTGCAGGATCTGCATGACTGTGCCAAAATAGACTTCATAGCCAATGTACCGGCCCCAGGCCAGAGCCCCCTTAGAGAGAGAACTCAGGCTGTGCACTGTGCATCCCAGAGCCGTCAAGGGAGAGGGATCCTGGAAGGAGTGGGGTTGCAGACAGATGGGGAGGGGCTGGCACTGAGGACTCTGGGTACAGCCCAGAGCTGGGCCGGCCTGGGCTATGCTGTGTCTAGAACCAGCTCCCTTTTGCCCTTGGCAGGGGTGCACCAGGTGCCTGTGCTGGAGCAAAGCAGTTCTGAGACCGGGCAGGCAGAATCCTTGGCAGGACCATGGTCACCACAGGTGTGATCAGGTGACCCGGGCTGCAGAGACCCTGCCTGACCAGATCCAGGACTCCATTCCGCGAACCGGTGCTCCGAACCACAGAGGGCAGCTCCCAGTGCAGATGTCTCCCGGCTTTAATAGAGCAAATTATTTTACACCTGGTGGCAGGCCTGACTGCAGTATGGTTCCTCAACTTTGAACGCCCTCTGGGTTGACCTGCTGCTTCTTCCCGACTTGCTGTTCAGAGTACTGGCCACAAGAGGGCGTTCTTGCCTTTGCAAAGAGTCACTCATAACAGGACCTGGTATTAGGACTCCTAAGTCGAAGGATTTCTCTTCTTTTTAAAAATGTCTTTGTGTTAAAATTTTTTATTAGTACATGATTGCCATACACAATGATCACATTCATCATGGAGAGTGTGCACCTGCACATAATGTATCGTAATTCTTTCTCCCATCTTTCTTTCCTCCAGCCCTTCTCTCCCTCCCCATTTACAAAAGCTGTTTCCGTCCCCCGCTTCAGTTCTTCCGTTTTGAACTCTTATCCTTTCCTTCCCTCCCCATCTCTTGTTCCCCTTCTCGTTTGAACAAATTTTTCCTACTTCCCAATATCTTTCCTCCATTTTGCTTCTTATTTACCCTTTGAGTGTCTCACAAAAGAGAAACAATGCAGTATTTAAACTTGTATATCTGATTTGGTTCACTTAAGATTATCGTCTTGAAGAAAGGAGAGATGCAGGGGACAATTTGAGTGATTCCCCTTGAATGCAGAATAATTGCTGCAACTTTGATTATGTGGAGACTTATTTCCTTGCCCTGATATCTACAGAGCTGGCTATGGTATTCCCTTCTCTCTTCATGGCTCTAAGCATTGCTAGTAAGGCTAGCTGGGGTCCTGGAATGTACTCTCTAAGGCCATCAGACAGTGTCCTGTGTCCTTGCATGGTGCTCTCTGTAAAAGATTAGTGAAGTGGAATGGTAGAGGCAGTCAGCTCCAGGAAGATCAACTGAGTATGAGCCTTGAGATAAAGAGGCTGTGACTTCCCAGTTTACATATCAGAAACTGAAGCAACAGCCTCCAAAAACAATTCAGTTGCTGCCTTAATTGAATTATGCAAAT